GTCCCGAGAGCCATTGTACTCCCTCCCTACTTGGAGCTGAAAAGAGAGTTGAAGGGCTGAGAACAGGAGATGGAAGCGTTGAAGAACGAAGAGTCACATCTGCAAAATTTGCAATGACTTTGAAAGAGAAAAAAGGGCGGTTTTTAGAAGTCAAAATTGTTTGACGTGGCCGCGTGGCTAACTCCAGGATTCCTGGATTCCATCGGCTTGCGAAACATCACCAGAGAAAGAGTCTGGGATGGTCATTCACCTGGCTGCCCAGATCTTCCCAGCCTCTCATCTTTTGCGCAAAAGCAACATGATCGTCTCCAATCTTCCTTAAGCGCAGTAGATTCCAACGTATTTTCCAACGTATTTTCCAACGTATTCTCCGACGTATTTTCCAACGTGTTCCAACATATTCCCAACCCCTCTACTGGTGCCAGGAACCAACACCTTTGACCGATGGGAAATGCGCATCCACAAGCGTTTGATCGACTTGCACTCCCCCTCCGATGTGCGGCCACCAATGAAACGACTTGTTTTCAAGGCATGGCAACCATTGCAGTTGGGAAATGTGATGAAAAGTGGGCTCATGATTCCATAATATTCATTGAGATTCCATGTTACCTGCTACCTCAGAAGTTCAGGTGTATCCACACATATCATTATCCACAGAACCCCCAGATGAGTCGATTCTTCGGGGGAACCAGCCAATGAATCAGATAGGTCACCAGCCATCGGAGGTTGGACAAACCAATCTGATTTCCCCAAAAGTTGAGGCACTTTATTTGTGGTTCTTCAATGTTGTTTATAGTTATTCCATGTTATACAATGGGATAATTATTTGATGAGGAATATTTTGGGCATTCCCAAGATCTCTTAGATATTTTTTTGGGAAGTGATCAAGAGTATTGAGGTCGTGAAGCAGATTACCTCCATCTCCATTGAGCACCATGGCACTGCAGCGAGTTGTTCGATTTGTTTGCACGTCGCGTTTTTTAATGTTTTTTAGGCTTGGACAGGAAAATACAAAGGAAGACAGCAGGATTTTCAAAACTGACTGCCCAGTTGCTTGACGTTGAAAATTGTGTAAGAATGGTTTTAGTTTTATGGTTCAAGTGGTTTGGTACCCTAGATTGATTAAGATTCTCTTCAGGGTCGTGAGCCCAATGATCTACTGTAATGATTGTGTATACGGGGCGCATGTCTTGAGAAATCTTGCGACATGTCAAGATTTGTCCCTTCAATACTTCTTGTGTTGGGAAAATGCCTGGAGAATTGCGACCGTCGACTTTTGGGGAAAACAAATTCAGATCATTTGGATATGAATGTTATGATATGATTCACTATGTTTGATGCATGTTTGATGCGTTCGTATGCGTTTGAGCCTTATAGATTGATTGTAGGTGTCCTTCAGTTCGAAACCAGCATCACCACATTTGTTTGATGAAAACTGCTGGATGAATCTGGAATAGATCGTTCATAGCTGTTCACAGATGTTCACACTGTGGATGAAAGAAATCCTGCATCACCTTGGATGGTTCAAACCCTACAAATAATGGGATAAACCACCTATCAACTGGTGCAGGATTTCTTCCAACCACCGTAGATGTTCAGATCGATGTTCATAGATCTTATTCCTCCAGCGGTTCGGTTCGGTAGTATTTTTGCACTTTGACCAAGTCCAATCCCTTCGAAAAAAGATGCACATAGGAATCTATGGGGCTGTACTCGACTATTGGATGGTTCGAAGGGCCAGGGTGACTGGCCTGAAATTTTGGGCATCCCGTTAGACTAATTCATGCTGCACAGGATGTCTAATTTGTCTTTGTCATACACCAAATGCACGCTAGGTTTGTTGATGTTTGTTGGCTAAACCCAAATTTATCCCATTTTCTTGCAAGTGTTGCTCGTTCAACCATGTATAAACCCCCATCTTTGTCTGTTTGAAACGGACATTGGCTTCGCGGTTTCGAAGCCAAAGCCCGAAGCCAAGCTCCCAAGGCCCGGAGTCGAAGTTGTTTGGACCACAGTGGGCTTTCAGTGGGGACAAACTTGGTGCGCAGCATGTTGTTTTGTCCACATCCCATCGTTCGGAACGCCATAGAATTTGATGAAAAGAAAACTGAAGGCTTGAAGGCATGGGACAGTATGATATTTCTCACAACTTTGAATTGCTGAAATCGGTCAATACGGTAAAGAAACATGAAAACCCCGTAGTGTTTGCTCCTTTCAACTCGTTTCTAGCACTGTTTTATAGCTCGGTGAAGCACTTTCGCCAAGGAAGTGACCATTGCAGACCTTTAGTCGGACATTTTGGGCAAGCAAGGCAGGCAAAGGCAGAAAAAAAGGCCGCTACGCGGATCAAATCCCGGCTATTCGCAGATTTCCGTTGAGTCATGGGTGGTGGTCACCACATTTATATAATCCATTTTAGATGGGATTTTCCATGAAATCAACCATGCAGCGAGCTATTGGGATACAAACAAATGTTGGAGAACATTTTGTAGGGAACCTGCCAGTTGGATCATTGGATCGTCTCGATCATCCTTGGAGTTGGCTCTGCAGAAGCGGATGTTGGATATCAACAGCTCTGCCCAGGTTCGCCAATGAAGTGATCATAAGTGATGCGTTCTAGCAGATGTCAATGTGTACGTATTTGTTTATTGATGTATTGATATATTGATGTATTGGCATGTGTGATTTGAAAATCACACATCGTAGCCCTTGAAAGTGAACGTGCAGGCGGGGGTGTAGATGCTATCCGTTGGAGTTCTGGTTATGGATGACTCTTCCAAAACATCAACAATAGCAGAGCATCACCAATGGAGACTCTCATTTTTATCAGCCACTCTCTAAGAATCTAACATCATCTAACAGGTCTTCAAATCAGATTACACAGCAATTTCTTGTTGAAAGAGGTCACTCTTATGGTGAAAGACATCACAATCCATGCCTACCTTTGGGGAAAAAAACTCCATAGTCATCCCCCAGAAACCGGTCGCAATGGGTCGCTTATCCCCAGAAGCCTTCAATGAGTTTCCAGTCTCACAGGCTGGGGGAGGGAACACTGGAGACAACCACTGACAACTACCATAAAACTCCTGGTTGCTTCCAGACCTTGTTTGATGTTGTATCATTTTTGCCGCCGGCGAAATGATTTGAAATGATGATCCAACATGATCCAACATTGTACTGTAACATGAATAATGATCTTCTATCATTTCTATTGATGGCATGGAGGGTTTTTGTTCATGGCTTAGGCCTCAAATGTACCAAGCTGATATGTTTCAAACGGGTAAATCATGGTAAATGCACCAGCTATCACAGGTAAATCATGGATATATCACGGGTAAATCACGGGTTGTGGAAAATCCCGGTTTTGTACAGAAAATGCCCCAAACCAGGGTTTTGGGTGCAAATCACGGTTATGTCACGGGTAAATCATGGGTTTGAGGTTGGAAGCAATCCCCACCCGAGATTTACCTGCAAAAAATTGAACAAAAATATGCAGTCAGTCGATTAAATGTTATCATTTCCTGTGGAGTCTACAAAAAAAATCACGAAAAGAGATTGCTTTAAACAGCACCCATGCTTGTCGACAGAGCCTTAATGTCAAATTCATTTGGATCTCTTCACATCCGTAAAAAATGGGGGTAAATCTAGGGTTTTGGCCAAAAACCGGGTTTTCCGGGGTAAAACTGGGTTTTACCTTCCATTGCCCGTCAAAACCGAGGTTTACTCACACACCCGAGAAATTTCCAGGGTTTGGAGGTATAGGGCATAGGGTATATATATATATATAATTATGTATATATATATATATATATACATATAATGCATGCCATCTATAGCGGCTATAGCGGTTTTTCTTGCAGACAGCTTGACAACCCGCAATGCTGCTCTCAGGGCATCTTTGGCATGCCTTCGATGGCTAACGGGTTGGACGTGCAGCAGCTGTTGGTGGAGGTGCCAATAGCACCATGGGAATTTCAATGGTGAAGTGCCATGGAACGAAGCTGGAGTTTGAGTGTAGATTCGTGTTCCGTTTGAACCTGTGACTCGGATTGTTTTTGCCTGGACCTTTGTATTTAAAGTTACAGTATAAATTATAATAACATTACTTCTAGATCATTGACAGATAAGCAGAGTTTGCGAAGAACCCCCCCTCTTTCCATGGCCTTTACAAGGTCGGAAAATCTTTGGCTGATGCAGATGTGAAAGCTCAGCGAGTGATTGGCAACCTGCCTCGACTCAACATGCGAGGGACAGTTGGACTTGGGGTTTACTGGAATTAGTAGACAAAACAGATTACCAATAGCTGTGGTGATTGTGGTGTTTATTGGAAATTCTGTCCATTAAACAGTTTGGAATTGTAAACATGATAATCTACAGCATCAAACCATTTACTACTGTGCACCATCATGAAGCATCCAGTTTTCAGGGATAGTTTTCACTACATAATAGTTTGATGACTTTTCCTAACAGGTACAGGGGAGTTGTTGACGAGAAAGTAGTGATGTCGGAGGATTCACAGCATGCTGAGACAACTTGTAAGCTTTGGGCAAACCTTTGTTGAGTACATTACCAACTAAACTGGTTGGTGCTTTGGAGCATGAATTTTATGACTTTCCAGTCAGTTGGGAATATCATCATCCCAACTGACGAACTCATATTTTTCAGAGGGGTTCAAACCACCAACCAACTAAAAGTTGCCCGTGGTCTTACCAAGGCATAATTTAGTCAATGAATATTTACTTAAGTGCGCCACTGGCTTGCCGAAGTAGAAGCGTCGCTGATGTGAGTGACATGCGCGTCGATGGTAGAATGGATCAACCTGCTACAAGGGCCTTTCGATTCCGACACTTCAGGATCCATGAATTGTCCTGCTATCCAGAATCCGGCTCGGAAGAATGATAACCAAAGTTTTGCCATCTAGCCACTGCAATCCCGTCTAGCATTTGAGATCGGATCCAGAGAAGTTGAGGGATAAACTTGCAGTCCAGTAGGTGAAACAAAACTAGACTTTGAAACATACCGTTTTTCATCTTTTTACATCTTATTACATGTAATTCGGATATTGTTTATGGACATACAACAAATGCCAGCATAGCTCCGCAAACGGTGGCAGAAAAAAACGGTCGATGGCTCAGGTCTCTCGGAGTCCCAGCGAGTGCGCATGTTTACTGAAAAGGCCCGGGGCCCGGCTCCCCTCATTCAGGTTGAACAGATGTAACAGATAGGCTGGTGAAAATTGGGCTGGATAGCCTCCAAAAGTAGAAAGTTTGATTGACATTTGTATAACCCAAATTTCAATGAAATCTGTTCCCCATGAGCCTGTGTATCCTTGAGTGATATCCTTGATATCTTTTTGGGAAACCCATATAATGTATCCACAGTAAATATCATTGAACCAGTAAGTCTTAGGTAAATTTAGGATCTGTATACCAGACTCCTCCAAACATGTGCATTTAGGTTTTGGGTGATTATAAAAATTGCTCTGCCCTTGATCTTTTGGGATTCTCTTGATAAAGTCTCTCCAAAATGCACCGAAGAGAGTCTCTTCATCCAGTATGGCATCGCATGTGCTTGTTATTGCAGCATTTGTGATGAAATGAACTGAGATGACAGGAATGTATAGCCTCACCAAATTTGATGTTTCTTGCCATAGGGTCAAAGAAGGTGCTCCGTCTTCGAGCTTTTGCAATTATCTTGCTAAAGTCTCTCCAAAATGCACCGAAGAGAGTCTCTTCATCCAGTATGGCATCGCATGTGCTTGTTTTCGCAGCATTTGTGATGAAATGAACTGAGATGACAGGAATGTATAGCTTCACCAAATTTGATGTTTCTTGCCATAGGGTCAAAGAAGGTGCTCCGTCTTCGAGCTTTTGCAATTATCTTGCTAAAGTCTCTCCAAAATGCACCGAAGAGAGTCTCTTCATCCAGTATGGCGTCGCATGTCCTCGTTTTCGCAGCATTTGTGATGAAATGAAATGAGATGACAGGAATGTGTAGCTTCACCAAATTTGATGTTTCTTGCCATAGGGTGAAATTAGGTGCTCCGTCTTCGAGCTTTTGCAATTCTCTTGCTAAAGTCTCTCCAAAATGCACCGAAGAGAGTCTCTTCATCCAGTATGGCATCGCATATGCTTGTTATTGCAGCATTTGTGATGAAATGAACTGAGATGACAGGAATGTGTAGCCTCACCAAATTTGATGTTTCTTGCCATAGGGTGAAATCAGGTGCTCCGTCTTCGAGCTTTTGCAATTATCTTGCTAAAGTCTCTCCAAAATGCACCGAAGAGAGTCTCTTCATCCAGTATGGCATCGCATGTGCTTGTCATTGCAGCATTTGATGAAATGAACTGAGATGACAGGAATGTATAGCCTCACCAAATTTGATGTTTCTTGCCATAGGGTGAAATCAGGTGCTCCGTCTTCGAGCTTTTGCAATTATCTTGCTAAAGTCTCTCCAAAATGCACCGAAGAGAGTCTCTTCATCCAGTATGGCATCGCATGTGCTTGTTTTCGCAGCATTTGTGATGAAATGAACTGAGATGACAGGAATGTATAGCTTCACCAAATTTGATGTTTCTTGCCATAGGGTCAAAGAAGGTGCTCCGTCTTCGAGCTTTTGCAATTATCTTGCTAAAGTCTCTCCAAAATGCACCGAAGAGAGTCTCTTCATCCAGTATGGCGTCGCATGTCCTCGTTTTCGCAGCATTTGTGATGAAATGAAATGAGATGACAGGAATGTGTAGCTTCACCAAATTTGATGTTTCTTGCCATAGGGTGAAATTAGGTGCTCCGTCTTCGAGCTTTTGCAATCATCTTGCTAAAGTCTCTCCAAAATGCACCGTAGAGAGTCTCTTCATCCAGTATGGCATCGCATGTGCTTAGGATTGCAGCATTTGTGATGAAATGAAATGAGATGACAGGAATGTATAGCCTCACCAAATTTGATGTTTCTTGCCATAGGGTGAAATCAGGTGCTCCGTCTTCGAGCTTTTGCAATTATCTTGCTAAAGTCTCTCCAAAATGCACCGAAGAGAGTCTCTTCATCCAGTATGGCATCGCATGTGCTTGTTATTGCAGCATTTGTGATGAAATGAACTGAGATGACAGGAATGTGTAGCTTTTTTGTTTGTTCTAGCAAGGGTTTTGTAACCTAGTGTGTCTCCATAGTTTGGTGGTTGTATCATGACCTTTGAAAGGCCGTTTGCTTTTATGCATTTTTCTGTTGAGTTGGATAGGGCAGGGTTGGCTGGGCAAATATCTTCAGTGTGGACCACATTCGAACATATCTCGTTTGTGACATCACCCTCATTAATTATCCTCGTTACCCTTGTCATTTTCATAATCCTCATAATCCTCATCATGGTCATCATCCTCATCCTCCTCCTCATCATTATCATCATCATCATCATCACCATCACCGTCATCATCATCATCATCATCATCAGCAGCAATGGTCATTTTTATCTACGCTTCACTATTGTGTATACTTATAGTGCTTGGGTACAGGCTGTGGGGAAGGGTTGGTTGGGTTCAGCGACCCTGACGTCGTTTCTTCATCTTCCCTGCTTCCGTCCTTCTGTTGTATCTGAAAGGACAGGGCAGTCCTGTTCTGATCTGTTTCTGAGTCATTTTGGGGACCGGCACTGGGGGATACCAGACCAAACCTGGCTGGCAAACGGAAGGCCCATATTTTGGACGGGGAATCGGTTGGGAAAATCATCTCTGAACTGGGAATTTCATGGAATTTCCCGCCAGCTTGAATTCCCAGAAGGCTTTGCAGGAATCGGTGTCATTGAATGAAATTACAGGACACCCCTGAATCACCCCATATAGGCTTGTAAGAAAATATGGATCCCACCAAAATATTGCAATTTTGTATAGCACAAATGCGTTTCTCAACCCTCAAATCTGGGGGTTGTCCCATAAATTTTCAGCCAACTTCAAAGCTCAAATTGTTGATTACGATTATATCGTTTTGTAATGTCTTGTATATTCTTAAGTATCCCATAAATTCATATCCATTAGATTTCATGATTCTCACCATACAAAAATGGCCTGCTCCCTTATGCGGGGTGTTCCATGGAATCCATGGTTCCTTTTGGAAAACCGTTGCCGCGTAGGCCTTGGGCAACATCCAGCATGCGAGAGAACTCCACGCGCAAGTGGAAGACTCCGTACAGACCTCAGAACGACTTCGGAGCATTTCGGAGCCTGGCCAGCTTGATGGAAAGCCAAGTTGGAGGATCTATGTGTGTGTATTATATATAATATCAAAATATAATATAATAGTATAATATAATATAGTATACACTTATACATATATATATATATTTACATACATATACATATGTGTCTGAAAATGGGACATATGATGAAATATGATATATCCTCATATATCCTCAAAATGGCAATCTTAACAATAAACAACATATGACAAACCCTGGGATTTGGGTGCTACCCTGCTTTTATGTTACAGGTCGTGTTCTGATTCTTGACACTTGTCAGCCGAAGTTGGCAAAATGAATCAACATGACTGTCCCCTTTTTGAAATGGGTTGAGGAGTGTTGGGGGTTAAGTGAATCTTGGTTTTCTGTTTTGTAGGGGTGACATGTGTGAAAAATGCTGCCCAAAGGGATCCCGAGGGTAAGCCAGAGGGTCATAGGCACCCCAGCCTGTCCTCCTAAGACTATACGCCCGACAGGATGGGCCCCCAAGATAGCGTTCAGTTGAGATATGGCTGTGGCTGAATTCTATGGTTGATTAGGTAGGTATAATGAACTAGTTCATGGGGTTTATAAACCAACGTTCACATCTCTGGGGGGCACCATCCTGTAATTGGCAGTTTCAAAACAACGTTCAGGTGGCGAATGTGGGCATTGGAATGCCCAGAGAGGAGCAGGAGCTTGCTGGTTCCTATATGGAAAGAGACAATTTTTGGTTTTCTGAATTTTCTGTGGAATTGCCGGGAAATTCTTGGGGAATTTCTTGGATGATGTACTTCTGGGGTGCAAGCGCAGCTCCGCACAGGGGCGGGGTTTCTGGATGTTTCTGGTCGAATTTGACGGCCAGTTTGATGTGGTGGATTCGATGATGGTCACCTTCATATGTTTCACTGCAAGACTCGCACTCATGTGCAAAGTGTTTCAAGCTTGGAATGTTTGGTATGAACGCTATAGCTATAGATTCATTAGAAAAAAACAGCGTCACATTTTTGGAGATGACATGAGAATTATGAGATGATGAGATGGGTGTAAACCACCGCATCATGGAAGCGGACAAGATGGACACCCAAAAAGACTCAACATGAAGCGATGGGGCAGCGCTGGAGCTTCTCAACAGCAACAGCGATAGCGCATGGAAGAGCTGACATTTTGATACCATCCAAACTATCAGGATACCCTCTGGTAAACTAACATAACTTATCATAGCTACGGAACATCACCATGTTTAATGGGAAAATCAAGTATATACCTGGCCATGTTCAATAGCTACGTTAGTCATTACCAGAGGGTATATCAAGATATGTTCAGAAGTGGAATGGCCATGAATGGCCGATGGTCCACCACAGATGAACTCGACTCGCTCGACGCTGTTCAACCTTACAAGAAAGCCCGGTAAATAGGTAATGTCTATAACTATATCATATCCTAACCATAGTTTGTCTCTTATGATTTATTGTAGCTTATATATATATTGTTAATTATAGTCATAGTTATACAGTTATAATGGCTTTAGACACCAATAAACAAAACGTGTGGGGGTCTTCCTATGTGCTGCCATGGGATCTGCTGGACTTCATGGCATTTTCCCTTGGTCTCCTGCTGGGAAAGTGGCAAGATTCGCAAGGCAACAACGTACAGGCGGGGTCCTGGCAAGAAAAACCATGCTAAATCCATCGAAATCCATGCTAAATATCCCTGCTAATCTGGCAAAGAAGTGGTTTTTTTTGATGTAAGCCACAAGAGACTGATGGATTTAGCATGGATTTAGCATGAATTTAGCCACATTTCATCTATGATTTCGCCAATTGCCTCACGAGGTCGTCGGAGGATTTTTTCCACAGCCTTGATGGCGTCGCCAGGTGACTCATGACGTTGCCAAAGGATACCAAGTCTTGGTCCAGCGACCAGGAGCAGATGCCATGGCTGCCATGGTTTCAGGATTCATAGAATTGGATGATGGGGAAATTTTAACCGGAAAGCCCTGTATTTGATGGTAAAAACCATGGTTTCCTGTAGATTTTCCCTTAAACCAATCCAATGAAGGATTCAACATGATTCAACGTTGAAGCCCAGTGACCGAAAATCATGGCTGGCTTTGTTAAAGCTAAGAAAAAATAACACCAACACTAACGATTAGGCCGGGCGAATCGTATCCTCGGGGGGTTCATCTTCGAGGGGTTGGTTACATTCCCGTCATTGCAACAGGACTAGACATGGTATTAAGATGTAATGTCGTGTGGGCCCATTTGGTATAATTACTTGTAGAGCCATACGCATAATATTTTAAGTTGTAGCCATTGTCTTTTGATTTTGATGGTAATGTAAGGATGCGTACACGATCACACATGTACATATACAAACTGCATCGAATTGCAGTTGTGTTCCAACAATGCACGATACAGAAACACAAACGTGTATGGATTACACTGTTATTATATGTTATTATCTCAGAGAGTCAGAAATTGTGGGTTTCTGAAGTTTCCAGCTGCACTAATTTGGAAAGAGCTACAGATCATGGGGTATTAAAAACACAAATCCCGTTCTTGTTGGTTAGTAAACCAGATGTTGTTGTTTTTCAAATAGAGACATCCGCAAAGTTCATAATCCATTCATATCCCCATTCACAAATAATCAACAAGGGGTTCAATCAGCCTGGTGTCCACATTCCCTGCAGCCTGAAGCCTTCAGATCCTTCAGGACAGCGTCGAGGTCGACGCTTCACGGCGTATCGATCGGCTGAGGATGGTGGCTGGGTTTGTTTGCGGGGGGGAAGCTACAGCCTTTGGCTTAAGTCAACAAATTATTTAACACCATTTAAATATATTTAAATACAAAGATATAACTGGTATTATTATATGATCATTATATACTGTAGTCAATGGTGATCTGCTGGGTGTTTTCAAGCCTTTTCGAGTTTCATTTTTCAAAGATAGTTGGAATATGTTGGAATGATGATCCCCGAGAACCAATAAATTAGTATATATGTTTAATGGTTTCATGGGTTAAACCACCAATCAGATGAGGGGATGGCGAAGCGTTGTGGAAGTATGTGACCGTTGTTTTGTTTTGCATTCTTTGATCTTTCAAAGCTGCATGTTTCAAATATGGCATCCAAATGTTTGGTCTCCGAAGCCAAGCATTGTGAAAGTGATTGGTCAAGTTTCATGTGGGGGCTCTCACATCATCAGTTCTGTGATGCCTGTAGGTTGCGTGTACTGTGGGCGCTACATGTTGGACATTGATGCAACTGGGGCTGAGATATGTTGGCGACAAAGGAGCGACAGGCAGCAGGCCTGGATATGGACGTTGAGGGCAAAGCAATCACCATCTTTGCGTGTATATACATCTTATACATATAAATGTATGTATGTATATACATATATATATATATCTATTTATAATATATATATATACATACATGAATATGTGTATATATATATATACACACTGTTATTTTTAGTTATAATTGTAATCAATCATATGCATATATCATCCCCCGAGAATAACATTATAAACTATCCCCCCAGATCCCCAATCAAAAATAGAAGCGCCAATAGCCTCTAGTCAAATGTGGCACTTGAATATCCCACGAAATAGAGGCAAAAAATAGCTGGGAAAATCCTCGAACTTGTGGGATTTAAAACAGCCAGGTTTTGAAGACAAGAGGGTAATCATTAATGACTCTAATGAGTACTAATTAATCTGGGTAAATTATAACGACCTCACAGTGACCTCACTGGAAATCATGGTTAGTAAGGGAAATCATCCCCAAATGGCCTTAATTCAGGTTAGTGAAATATTATAATTTACCCAGATTAATGATTCATAGTTTTGATTCCATATATGATTATTGAGTTTTTTATTGAGATTGATAACCTCCATCAATGTGAATAATCTCAATAAAAATGGAAGTTATTAATCTCAATAAAAGTCCCAATATTAATAATCTCAATAATCATTATGGATCCCTGGCATCCCTGGTGCAAAAAAAGTCGCAGGTCTCCATCTGGAGTCCGGCCACTTTTTTTGAGCCCACAGAGCCCACAGAACCGGAGGACCTCGGGTAGGTCACCACCAGGTGTGACCCGGGTTCAGCGATCCAATACTAAACCATGAAGCAGTATTCCGTTGTATTCCGTTTAGGTGGTATTTGCTATATTTTGCTATTAGGATCTTTGAAATTCTATGAATCTATTACAAAGATGGGATTATTAGGGGTAACTATCCCAAAATGATGCGAACTCTTCAAGTGGGTGAGTAGTAAAGAACTATGCACTAGCTTCATCCAGATGACTAGTCAAACATGGTCACAATAGGCCACAATGCTCAAATCCATTGGAAAATCTTCCCATCATCGAGGATCATGTTGCCTTAAGCCTGGAATCATGGTTAATTAATAAGGGGAATCATCCCAAAGTGGATTAGTGAATAGATACAAACAAATTGGAAAAAAAACCATTGGAATCATACAATGATCAAATCCATTGGAGAATATTCCCATCCCAAAGTTTCAGCTTAGTGAATTATGATACTTTGCCCAGATCATTGTATGATTGTATACTTCATTTCATAGACGGGAAATGTTGGCGTAAACTTTCTTTCACAGCTGGATTCAGTCAAATCATTATTGAAGAAGGTGACCACCACTGTCAACAGCTGATAACCAGTCACAGACACTTTGGGCCTTATCTTTGTTTACACATTGTTTGTTTATTTTTTATTGAATTCATTATTTGATCCTGGCAATACAATGTGAAAAAGAGGTATGACATGTTTCAATATGTTTGATAGTAGTAACAATTGTTTTATCAATCAATTACTACATTTACCTGTGCATATATATATATGTGTATATATATAATAACATGATTATATACACATGTTCAATAATTGAACACATATACAATATACAATTATATAACATATACACATAGTGAATCACTAAACACATATACCATATTATACCATATACCATATATATATATACATGTATACCACACATATGTATATATATATATATTCTCTCCAATATCGTTATACAACCGCCAGGAGTGCACGGCCGGCGCAAGCGGCATCACCTGCTGCCTCCGATGCCCAAGCTGCGGAGAAGGAATCGCACCCAAGGACTGCAACAGGGGTGGCCGGCGCCGAGAACCGAGAACCCGAAACGGGCACCCGAAACGGGAACACATCGGAGCCTGGTGCGCCGGAAAGGCCATGATGATCCGTGATGTTTGTTGATTGAAACACATGAATCATCATAAATCTATATGCCATGATGTTTATTGAAATACATAAATCATGATCTAGCCACGTATTATGAGGTGTTTTTTCTTGGAGATAGGCAACAACGATGTGTCCTTCAAAAAAAATATGTATAGTGACCAATCCGGCCAACAGTTTTGACTGGGAGAATGATATATAGAGGCCATCTCACCACATTGTGAATGGATTTGTTTGAGTAGAAGGTGCCACTTAGCAGCTGGATAATCTCCTGCACATATATAGATATTCAATTGATCAGTAACTGCAAAACCGGGTGAACCAGCCATGATTATGAGTCACTAACCCATATGATAGTGATATACGATGGGATATAAAAAGTGACTCACAATCATAATCATATGCCCTCTGGTTATTTAACATAGCCGTGGGAAATGGCCCATTTATAGATTGTAAATGGTGATTTTCCATAGCTATGTTAAATAACCAGAGAGTATGTCGTTTTAACATCAATTTCTGAAGCACATTTCAACACTGCTAGGAGCGCCGAAGACAATGGATCCTTCCACTCTTCCTGGCCATGGCGAAGCACATGGCGGAGAGACATCAACTTGCCGAGTTGCAAAGCGCAAAGGCCGTGACCGGGTGGCCAGTGTGGGAAAGGTCAATGTCAATGGCCACTTAAGTGGGGTTATATGTATATATATATATATAGTAAGTAAGATGTTGAATAGTAAGATCAGCAAATATATATATATATATAGCAATTTCTTGCCCATATTCCAGGGCCGAACATATTCCATGCCAAAATAGCTGGGAAATTTCAGGGAATTGCGAAGACCCCTTTCAGGTGAAATTTGTATTTCATACAGTTTGCCAAGTATTCCTTTTCTTCTGGCACGTACGTTGTCGACTGCACATGTTCTTCCCCAAAGAAGATCCTTACTTTCAACAATTTCTGGAAATGTCATAATTAAAAATGTTGAGCTTTCCAAAAATGGATTAATAATGTTCTTATGGAAATTTGTCATCTACACTTTTCACGATCCCAAAACCCAATTCATAAGCTTTAAGCTTATGTTCTGGCACGCTTGGCTGGCCTTTCATCAGCAGCGCCATCCCCATCTTTCTTGACATCTTTGTGGCCCCGCAAAGAGCTCTGCACAACAGGATCTGGGAACACAAATCATCGACGATCCTGTTTTCTTCCGTGCAAAATAATTCCACCGATAGAGTACGATGCCACCCCTGGAGTGCGCTAATTTTCTGGAATGCGAAAATAAAACAGTATGCGTGGCCCCCTTCGACCTTCCCCATGAATCCAACACCAGTTTTTTCCATCATATACCAGAAAATTATCACATTTCACCCTGCTGAGCTTTTTTTTTCTTTTTTCTTTTTTTTTTTTGGCCAAAATTGCCTGGAATGCGATAGTATGTGCAACTACAGACGTCTCACGAAAAACCGCTACCTTTCCCATATTCCAGAAAACGTGATTCCAAGCCCAAAAAAAAAAAACGGAAAAAAAAAAACGAAAAAAACGAAAATTACCGAGTACGAAGATTTTATGGAGTGCGAAGATCTTGCAGAGTGCGTGGATTTTATAGTATGTGCGCGTCCCTAGCTGTGGAGTGCGATGTCCCATGTGGAGTGCGAAGAATTTGTGGAATGCGAAGAATTCCGAGTATGCGTGGCTGGTATAGAGACCACATAGGGAAATTTCGCGGCCAGAACCAAAATTCCAACCCCAAAGCCGGCCCAAACTTCCAGGGGCACACCAGTGGGTTCTATTTTTCCAAGTTCACCTTGGGTGAGGTCCCGGGGAAGAAACTTGCTAATTTTTACTTAGCCAACCTTTAAAAACGTTACCTTTGACAACCCTGTCCTTCTTCTGTAGACAAATGAGGAAACTTCCTTATCAAAGCAGCCTTCAATTCATTCAACGTCCACAGCTCCTTTGGAACGACATAGGGGATAGAAAGCTGTGGAGGGGCATTCAATGGATTCGCCGTGGGCCAACTGTTCCCTCCAGATTGAGCTGAAATGCCTATCAAAGTAACATACCAAAACCCAGGTCTGGAGTACGATGAAAACATGGTATGCGAAGATTTTCTGAATATGGGAATGTTGCCTTTAGAATATAGTCATACTTGTATATGGTTTTATATTTACAGTAAATAGTAAATCTTAGTAAGATATGATTGAAACGGGGAACCCGTTGAAACAGTGATGAAGTTGGCCTTCTGGTGGTTCCCTGCCAGATGATAAAGGCATCCTCACCTGCCCACTTGATACCGACCAACATTTGGAGAGACGATTCTTTTCTGAAATGAAATGCTGGCCATAGCAGATTGCAGGGTTCAATGTCCCAACATGTTACACACATTTGCACACACACAGACACTCTCTCTCTCTCTCTCTCTTTCTCTTTATGGTCATAGCTCTCTCCTGTCGCACCAGATCCGTTTTGCCAGCAAGATCTTGACAAAGTTGGAGAGTTCCTTGGTGATTCAGATGCTGCCACGAATATGCTGCTCAGGTGATAAGAGTTCTGAGTTGCGTATTTCCGCCAGTACACATGAAGAGTTGTTGTTGCTGTGTGTGTTCTAGTAATTTGATATTATATATATATATATAGATATTTTGCCGCCAGTTTGGTTTGTTGTCAGTCCACATTATCTACCTGAATCGATCAGGGGAGGGACTCTTTTCTCATATTCTCATCTTCGGAATTTTGAACATCAGCTGAGCCTCGCAATACACTGAAGAGGTCGTCAGGCACTCTGATGGGGCGTTTCATTTTTCCCAAACACCGAGAATCATCGTCACGGGAAAGGCGCTGACAAGGGAAAAACATATGACATATTGCACACAAGGTTTAACATACATATATATAATTATATATATACATGTATGTGTACTTCAGATTATTTCAGTATATACATTGTTTGCTATAAGCCAGTGGTCAACAGATCATGGGGCTATAAGACTGCGCATATCATGTCTTTCCTCAAGAGATCAATGCCTAAGGAGATGATGGTTGGAGAGGCTTCCCCAGATACTTTTCCATGGTGACATATGGTGCCTTAGACACCTGTTGATGTGGTGTTTTTTCATACACTTCCACACTTCCCCACAATTTGGGTACCCGGTGACGCCGGTCGAGGTTCTTTGGCAGTGGAACTTTTCATGGACCATTTTCTGGAAGAACCTTGGCGCCTTGGATCGTCCCAACGTAGGAGGGTGTTATCAACCAAAATCATAGCAACATTTACAAAGAACAGGAACTTCTACCATCATACATTACCAACCGGTATGATTTACCATGAAAATCATAGGCCGCAACTTGAGGATGTTGCTTTGCTGCTGTTGCATGCTTCTCGAACTGGAACAGCCGCTGTGGGCACAACGACTGTTCCACGTGGGCGCCAAGCAAACGCAGCTCAGCGCCGAAAAGTGCGGGGTGCTGTTTGTAAAAAGATGTGTGTACTTAGACCCTCCATGCCAAGTACCCATGAGAATTACCATGAATTACCAACAAAAATGGTAAAAGTCCAAAAGTAATGGGTATTCTACCCCCATGTTACTGGGTACTTGCAGGGTCTGGTACATATTGAGTGCTGTGTTTATGACTGATGAAATTCTGGCTGGACAGCTATGTTTTGCAGTGTGGCGAACCTTGGAGAAATATGGGGCTCCGCAAGTGAACAGACATTGCAGGGATTCGCAAACCTTCTCTGTTGTAGATTCTAAGCCTCAGATACACATTGGCTTTAAACCGATTTAAACAAAAAACAATAGTCCAAGGTCAGCTGTGGAAATCAGTTGGTTAAGAACTATGGTCCCTTGAATCCAAGTTCGAGGCCCACGTGGCCTGGCTTTCACGCTTGGTTTGTGGGGGAGACCCCGCATCAACCCATACCCGATGGCCTGTACCATCCATGCTAGGTAAGGTATATTAACAACTGGTTGGTGGATTGGAACATGAATTTTATGACTGTCCATTCAGTTGGGAATGGAAAATCATCCCAACTGATGAACTCCATGATTTTTCAGAGGGCTAGGTCAACCACCAACTAGACAAAATAATGCATGTTTTGGGCATACAGCCAATAATATTTGATCACACAGCAGTGTAACAAACATGCCAAGGTTACACGCAGATACTCCACTCTCCATTTGGCCTACCCTGTAACCGACCAAGGTAACTGAACATATGTAATGCATGATATAATATTAACTAGCCCCTCTTCCCGTTCGAAATTGGATCCCCTACTTTTATCACGTGTCTTTTGCACAACTTACTCCTGAGTCCTCCCAGGGTCCCATTTGGGCTAACAGAAACCTATAGATCGGGAACCTCCGATAAAATCCCATGGTTTCCTCTAAAATGTTCCCTGAAAAATATCTGCGATCAAATCCATTGAATGTCATAATGCTTAGTTGAGTCCCCAAATTTTGTTGGTGACATCCATTTGTTTGTTAGAGTCCCAGCTATAGATAGCAATTTCTGTTGATCGAAATCCATCGAAATCCATTGATTTTGAGGACCGCCTTGCTGCGCTACATCTCTTTGCCCCTGGCCTCCGACCTCACTGCTTGCGCTTCACCATGGACCCCGCGGCTGGCGCGGGTGCCAATGTGGGATCTTTGGGATGCATGGGTTTGTTTGAAAATGGGATGTCTGTTGCAGTATCCCATGGTATCCCCAAATCCGCTCCTTATACCTTGTTCTATCATGTTCTATCGTTTTCTATCCGGATATTATCTCTTGATGAATTGGGAGTCGACAGTTTTTTCCGTGCATTCACCCAGCCTGATTCTTCCCATGTTTTTTTCTGTCGCTCAAAGCCAGCCCCATCAGCTACACTGAGCCGCTGAAAGTGAATGGCCTAGCCCTCCAGTACCTGACTTAATGGGGATATAAACTTATATTTAATGGGGATATAAACCAAAATGATAGGGATTTCATCAATAAATATAGATATGACGAAATGATTTATATATATACATAGTGGATACCTGATTGATTGTAGATTCACAAAGATTGCTGAGAGCCTTGCTGCGCCTGGAGCTGCCATGGAACGTTGGCTCTTCCTTTGGTGCCTGGTGGCTTGTTTCAGCGCAACCTCGGAAGGTGATTTGTTGATTTTCCCATTTAGGGAATCGGCAGGGAATATACATATTATATTAATGCTTTAATATGTGTATTATTATTATTATTATGCTTATTATTATGCTTATTATTATTATTATGCTTATTATTATTATGCTTATTATTATTATGCTTATTATTATTATGCTTATTATTATTATGCTTATTATTGTTATGCTTATTATTATTATGCTTATTATTATTATTATTATTATTTATTATTATTATTATGATTATTATTATTATTTTATATTATTATTATTACTATTTATTATTATTATTTATATATATATGTTATTATTATTATTACTACTATTATTTATTATTTATTACTATTATTATTATTAGATATATATTATTATTATTACTATTTATTATTATTATTACTATTTATTATTATTTTTATTATTACTACTATTATTTATTATTATTACTATTATTATTATTATAATTTTTATTATTAGATATATATATATATTATTATTATTATTATTATTACTACTTATTATTATTACTATTTATTATTATATATATATATATATATATATACATGCACATGTGTGCGTGTTTTGGTTTTCGTGGTGGCGCCCTGGCGCAAATCCAAGGCAATGTCTCAGGATTTGACATGATTTGACTGCTTTCGCTACTCTCACCGATTCTCCAGGGAAGGGACCCTGCAGAACAGTACCGCCTTCAAAGAGGTTGTCCATCTACTACTGGAAAGCAGCGCCTCCCATATCTTTGTCGAAACTCTACAGGCACTACGGAGGGACTGTCAGAAGGATCCCGCAACATGTCCCAGTCGGGCCTCACGGATTGCTTGGGACTGGCAACGGCAGCTTCACCGGATGCAGATCAACCCCTCAGCAGCTCACCCGGTGGTGATGAGCGCCATCAAAAAAGTGGAGTGCCAGATCCATTCGCAGGTCCCCATCCAAGAGCTCCCGCAGCAGGCAGTTTGTGAAACCACCAACCTGGGCTGCCTCTATCGCCTTTGGGAGGCCGGTGGCCCCGGTGGCCCCGGTGGCCTCGCCGGTCCAGATGTGATCCCACCAGGCCCTACGTCCATCGCCCGCGGAGTCTTGGCCATTGCGAGCACTGTGGGACTGCTGGGGCTGGTGGCTTTGGCTCGGAAGGGCAACCGGGGCCTGGAGGCCGAGTCCATCTTGGAAATGGAGATCCTGTGAGATCCTGTGAGATCCTGTGCACCGAATTCTCGAAACATCCAAAGTTGATGATTTGAAATATGTGTATATATGTACTTAATAAATGTCCAATGTGAACTGCAGCGTTTGATAAGGGCACGAAAAGACAGGGCTTGGAGACGAAGGCTTGGAAGATGATTCAAAATATCATAAAATATCTCATCCTGGAGCTGTGCACATGACGTACGCATTTTGCACAGGATATCTTTGGACCGGTGAAGAATGATGCCCTGCGACTACCAGAAGAAGTGACGGTGCACTTTGTTGATACTGCAGAGGCCGGAAGTTGGCACTTGGTGGGACCTTTTTTTTGAACGGTTTGCGTCAAGATGCCAATTGGGAATGGTTTACCCTCTGGTAAACTAACATAGCTATTGAAAATGGCCATTTATAGTGGATTTTTACATTGAACATAGTGATTTTCCATAGCTATGTTAGTTTACCAGAGGGTATGTGATTATATGATTCCTGTCTGGTTTCAACATATCGCAAACATATCGCGGATGGTTTGTTGAATTGGATTTACCATGACTTACCACATTATCCTGAATATGATATCATATGCGCCATGGTCAACAATAGGAATTGATAGGAATTCAATACCCATGTTAGGGCCATGTTGGTGGATGGTAACATGACCCTTTTTTTGGCGAATATCATGGCCGCCGATATAGGCATTCCAATGGGAGGACCATAGAACATATACCATGTTTTGACCATCCTGTAGCGAGAATCCTTATGATGGCTACATAAGCTCCCACTAATGGACTATATATTATATATATAATAGTGACCGTCCCCCAATATGAGCAATTTAAATCCAAGCTTAAGTTTTGACCATGGCACATATGACTATCATACATGCACATCATGTCCTGTAATTATTTGACAATCACAGGATGCTTCAATGAATGTGATTCAAATGTCGGACTTTTTGGAACTGTTTCAAACTTTGACTCTGATTTTGGGCGCATTGCAGGGCCTGCAAATTGCCATGCAGCAGTTGAGTGCAACCAAGATGACCCATGTCAGCATTTTGGATGGCTAGACACGCCATTGACCCACAATGGATATTTTACCACCAAGAATTCAAATGGACATTTACCCTTTTTTTATGGGTCCTTTAAGTGTCTTATTAGGCTGCTAGACAGTCAAAGATCTGAGAAATGGAAGGAACTGGAACAGGAGCGGTTTGACAATGCTCCAATTGAAGGATACAACATACCTAATGTGGGAGCAATCCAAACATCCCTTTCTAAGAGCAGTAGGACGAGTATAGCCTTTTTTGAAGTTCACTGCTGACGACAGCTGGAAATTACCTGGCTCCCAGGATCGGACTTGACTGTGAGCATAGCGGTTTCGGGGCTCATGCTGAGTCTTGTAAGCAATTGTTTTGATTATTATTCCATAGGATCCATGGTGCTGGAGGTGCTGGTATATATGCTAACATGACGGGGGTATATTGATGGGATCCATGGAGGACCATATATAGCATACATGGATCCTATGGGTATAGCCCTCTAAAGACTTTGAATGGGGGGAAAAGAGTGATACAGTGATACATCCTGACAGGACCTGTTTCTTTTGGCGCGTGTCTTGCAGATAAGAAACAAGGGCAACTGGCATCTTGTTTATCGTGATTTAGGATACTCTGGGATTGAGAATGATCAATGATGTTGCATGATTTTGCTATATTGTGTATGCTTTGATGTGAACCTTCAACGAGGTATGTGTCCCTATAATTATGCGGGTATGATTTGACGCAACAGGCATCCACTGTCCAAAGTTGGAAGTATCAAAACCTTCAATCCAAGGAAATATCTCTTATGCAGCTGGCGACATTCTGGCAGTGCTTCATCATTGACGTCCGGGCCTTACCAAATGGGCATGGATCTTACTTTGGCCGCTAATGAATTGAGTTGCGATTTCCCACTCGTCGGGACATCCAAGTACACTTGTTCCATTGAGCATTTTAGAGGTTTCAAAGTCCCAAGTCCCATATCCCATGCTACTGAGCCAGCACCCTTCAGTAAACCAACAAGATATGGAACATGCGATTGGTGGATATTGGTGGATCGTTCCAAGGGAACCCATGGTTCAGAAGCCTTGGTTTAGTGGGTTCATTCATCCTAAATCCAAGGGTTCGTCATGATTTTTGAACATTTGCCATAGGTTTTTTGTGCATCCCCCATGTTCAGACCATCTGCCCCAAACTGGTTGATTCATGTTGATTCTATCACATTTAATTAATGTTCATTCTCACTCATGCGGGTAAAACACTGTCATTTTAACCACCCAAAAATATGGGAATGGTGTCAACATATACACTACATTACACTACCAGACCACCTATATATTTATGGATTTTATGCTGATGACTGGGGGATGGTGCAAGTGACATTGTTTTACCCACATGTGTCACATGATTGTAATGTATCCATAGTCCATCTGTCTATCCTGAGGTGCTGACCTTGGAGCGCTCCCTTTGTGACCCTTTGCTGGCCATGTTGAGCACCAAGGCGCGATCTCAGATTTGGGGCGACTAAATTTTAGTAAATCATGGTGGATCCCCAGTCGTCACCATGGGCCAGTTTCGAGACTAAGTCATGGTCATCCATGACGACTGGATGATAACTGGGGTACCCCCGTGACTTCGGAAACTTGCATTTAACCATCAAAGATGTGTAACTTCGACAACAAAACTGGTGCTATAATGGGTATAGTTTTTTAGATATATGTAGGGGAAGACAAATGAAACCACATTAAGGAACATAAATAGACAGTATCCACAAATTATCTATCATCCATGTTGAGCTGCTGGTAAATTAGCATACAGATCACAACCCCAAATAGGAGCTGTTTAAAAGGGATGTTGCCGAGGTACTGATTCGGATGATCTTCTGAGCAAATTCATGTGAGAAGTGACAAAAGCACCAATGATGGTTGATTCATTTGGGATTTTGGTTGACTTTCCTGCGAACAGTGAAGCATGAATCAAAAAATAATCCAAACATTCCAAAAACAAAAACAAAGAGCATTTAATTGCATACCAAACTGCATTTCCAGAACACATAAAAACATTGGCTGGGTAATACTTTTTGGTCCCACCAGTGGATTTCTTTGATAGGTGGGTTAGAGTCAGTTCCCTCCTTGCTCCCCCATTAAAGATAGAACTAAGTTCATTCCAACCTTCTCGAATTTCAATTCGAAATAAATCATAATCAACTTAATCAACAATGATGTGTGATGATTTAACTGTGTTTCTTGAGGCTGTCCTATAATTTTACTGATCCTTTTCGTTCCCAGGTTCTGTTGGCCTTTGACTTCCGCTCGGATGCCGTCCTCCTTGAAGCACTCGGAAGCCATTTGGAGCCCCTGGATCTCCGGGACGGAACGGACGGAACGGGAGGCGCCCTTTTGCAGTTGAGCCATGTCAAATCCACCAGTTTCTTGGAACCCGTTGCTTGGGATTTAAGAATGGCTTTCTGGCTTTCTTTAGGACTTTAGGACTTTAGGATACTTTGGACTTTAGACTTTGGTTTGCCATTTGGGTTTTAGTGCTTAGTGAAGTTTTTGTGATTTTACCATGGGTTCTATTGTTCCTTTTTTTTGGGGGGTAAGGCTACAGTGCAAATCTCAGTATTTTCAAAAGATGGTTCGGTGATTTCTGGATGGTTTCGCAATGTTTGGCACCATTTTAGCTACAATTGCAGCAAAATGATGAGACCCAGGTAGTATCATCGAGTATCACGGTTCTTGGATGTTTGAAGTTTGTGGAAAGCACGTGCCGCGACAGCGCAAGATTGCAGTTCCGCATGGTCCATGCCATCGATGACAAACGTCAGTTGTTTGTTTCCATGCAAGTAGAATCCAGGGACAAGCACCGGCATGGTTTTTAATGTGTCCAAATATGGTTCGGAACACCTTGACATATCATAGATATGATAATCCTCCGGGAATATATGTTGTTTTATCCCAATAATATTATCTTTGTTGATCCCCTTGCCCTCATGGATCATGTTTTTTTCATAGATTGATATATGATGATATATGCACAGCTGCCACAGGTTAATCTTCGGAAAACGGTACCTTGACCACCTGCTGAGAGCTTGCGCGGGTACCACCCAACTTCCATTGTTTTTCAATGTCGTTTCATCATTTTCATTCAAGTAAAAGCATGTAAAAACTATTAATAGGGGGATCATATATGATAATATGATATAATATGATAATGAAGTGGTATTCAACCCTTTTGAACCCATTCTTGGACAACCCAAATACCCCCGGGGGGCCCTGGAGGTCTGCGACATCTCGTCCAACGTGCTCTGACAAGAGAACTCTGCAAGGTGGAGCAGTGCAGCTGCTGGGGACGCAGGTGCGTCAACAGGATGGCGCCAACAGGATGCGAGAAAAATGAACCAATCAGACAAATCAAAAAGTATCTATAATAGTTTTTAGTATATAAATAGATAATGGTATTTTATAATAACAATAATAGTACTACAAGAAATAATTCATAAACAGCATAATATATATATATATATATATAATAGTATCATAGATCATAGTATGAATTGCAATTAATGTTATATATAAATGTCATAGTATATATATATATATACACTATAGTACGTTTTCAACTATTTTGCAGAAATGGCGAAAAACCAGAACTGAGATTCTTCAGGTGAACCATTCCAAAAGTCTGGAAGTGAAGCTTTGATAACGTCCGGCAATCGATCATCTAACGCTGTGCAAAATTCCCCATGTTTCCGACAGATCGATGGTATTCCCAACATGAAGGCAGATGTGGCAGATGTCCGAGTTTCGCAGCCTTGACGGTTTTGTTGACGTTGGAGGGTCGCCTTGGTTCAAGGCCTCTTCGTGGCAGCCAGCTTCACTATGCAGCACTGGATGCCTGGGTATTGCTGCCGTGTGCCTCGTTGGAGACACCCCCAGAAACCATGGTTTAGTAGAGGATGAAAACACATCTTGGGACATCTTGGGGCACATTTTATTACGGGGATGGGATTATTGTATTTTATTGTTCTAGGCGCGCTGCTGATCAATTCCAGTCCTATTTCTGGCTGATGGATTGTTCTGGTATGGTAAATCGCTGCCTCCGAGATGGCGTGATTCATGAAGTCGAACTGTCTTTCCTGGATTTATGATAGTTTGAAATCACAAATCACTTGAATAAATGGTATCTTAGTTTGGCAAAGACCTCTCTATATATAATTATATATATACAACAATGGAACTGCTACATGTCACAACTATGCGAACCTCAGATGGTGTTGCCTTGCTTCAGGCTGTCGAGGCTGCAAAGCTATTAAATGCTTCTGTAGACATTCTACAGAATGGCATGGAATCACTTTTTGCACCCAGTTAAGTTATGCACCTGTGCATCTGATGGGTTGTAGAAACTTTAGGTACTGTTGCATCATGTTCTATCAATCGCATGTATTAGATTTTGGAGCCAAGAAAAGGGTTGAACTGGTTCAACTATGATTTTCCAGTTGGAAATGGTCACTTTCGGGCTTCAACTCAAATTTCAGGCATGTAAGATCATGGAAGTCATGTTTCGAGCCTGTCGTCGCCACCCAAGGTGCAAAATACCTACAGGTGATTTAAGCGACTCATTTTGGAACAGGACACCCAGAGCCGGCTCAGGAAGTCAGTTGTGCTACGAAATAATCATGCGATTAAAGCCGCTCGTAGATTTATTCGTGGTTGTTGGTTCTGAATCCATAAACAGGCCCTGGTAAATCATCATTTTTAGAGGGTCGCCTGTCACCAACCTCCAGGTTGAGCAGCAAATTTCACTCACATTTTTGGGGATATCAGCAGAGACTTGGACTCAACAAGACCAGCCACATTAGACTTGGCTCCTTTAGGCTGCACGTCCATAGAAACCCGCGCGTCTTTTGCTGCCAGGAACATGACGTCTTTGTGGAACTTGGATCTAAGGTTTTGCAGATGGTTGTGAAACAGTAATTTACAAGCATGTTCATGTTGTTTTTTTTGACAGATCATCATGGATTCATTGTTAACATATCATTCATTCATTTCAGTGTTGAAGATGACAACGTCTGAAACTAACTTTGGGATGACACAAAAAATGTTTTTCATTGCGTTTCGTGTATGATTTGGCACATTAAATTTCGACATCAGGAGAGGAGATTTCATGTATTGCATGCAAGTGTCTATGATGTCATCTATATTCCACTGACTGAGACATGAATCGCAAATGACGTGTGTGCGTGTGCAAGTGCAAGAGAAGATCCCAGAGCGTAGCATGATGTGTGTGTGTGCAAGTGCAAAAGAAGATCCCAGAGCGTAGCATGACGTGTGTGTGTGTGTAACATCTGAACAGATGTAAAACTTCTTCTCTCTCTTTTTCTTCCTTTGTCCTCTCCCTTTCTAAATCTAAATTAAATTTAATGCAGGGGGACGTGGCATACAATCAGGGACCACGTCCAACGAAGCTACCTGATTGTATGGGATACAGAGCCTGATCAGCTCTGCGTACCTGCCGCTCGAATTTTCCAGAATAGCAAGGGGCCAAGCTAAGAACCCCAAAGACGAACATGATACATTTGCACGGTTGTCACAATTTCTAATCTGCATGCTTCAGGATTCAGTTCCTGACGGATCATATAATGATCCACTCTTGTCTAGTGTGATTTCCATGGTGGCTCCGACATGGTGCCATGGAGCCAATTGAGGCAACCCTTTTCAGGGTGAGTGTTGACAGTCTTGAATTCTGAATTCACACATTTTAACTTAGTAATTCGTTTAAGTAAAGGGCAACAATCAGCCTTGCGGTTCACCAGCCTTGTTGAATGTCCCGCGACTCCGGCTGTCCCAGGGATCCCAGTGTTCTGATCTTTCAAGTGAAGCTGCTTTGAACTACCAGAAACCTCCTTTTTCGCAGCTGCTTTTGACGGTCCATGACAACAGCATTTGATACAGGAACCAGGCAGGCACACGACTTTCAGGTGTGGTATTCCTTCTTTTTGGTTTTCTGGTGAGGTGAAACATTTTGTGCATCTAATTCGATGGAACTTGGAAGCTGTTTTATGCCATTGCGGCACGACTTGACCACGGTCCCGGTGCAGGGAATAATCGCACGACTTTTTAGGCATTTAGGGACTGAATCCTGTTTATAATTAATTGTTTTGGTTTTCCTGTCGGTCATCAACTAGTCCCCCATTTGGTCCCTAATTCTCCCCGCGTGCCTCTCCGTAATGTGTCGTGGGGTTTAGGTGTGTGCGCTGTTTTTGTCAGGTCCGTTTCGCCGTGTAGGTTGGTTCCGGAGGTCCGTCTGTTCCCCTCCCCCCCCTGCGCTGGTTTTGGCCGTTTGCCCGTCGTGTGTCCGCTTTTTTCTTCCTCTTGCCTTTCAGGGTTGACCCGGCTCCGGCCGGGTGTGTGTGTGTAACATCTGAACAGATGTAAAACTTCTTCTCTCTCTTTTTCTTCCTTTGTCCTCTCCCTTTCTAAATCTAAATTAAATTTAATGCAGGGGGACGTGGCATACAATCAGGGACCACGTCCAACGAAGCTACCTGATTGTATGGGATACAGAGCCTGATCAGCTCTGCGTACCTGCCGCTCGAATTTTCCAGAATAGCAAGGGGCCAAGCTAAGAACCCCAAAGACGAACATGATACATTTGCACGGTTGTCACAATTTCTAATCTGCATGCTTCAGGATTCAGTTCCTGACGGATCATATAATGATCCATTCTTGTCTAGTGTGTGCAATTGCAAGAGAAGATCCCAGAGCGTAGCATGACGTGTGTGTGCAAGTGCAAAAAAAGATCCCAGAGCGTAGCATGACGTGTGTGTGTGTGTGTGCAAGTGCAAGAGAAGATCCCAGAGCGTAGCATGACGTGTGTGTGCAAGTGCAAGAGAATTTCCCAGAGCGTAGCATGACGTGTGTGTGTGTGCAAGTGCAAGAGAATTTCCCAGAGCGTAACATGACGTGTGTGTGCAAGTGCAAAAAAAGATCCCAGAGCGTAGCATGACGTTTATGCGTGTGTGCAAGTGCAAGAGAAGATCCCAGAGCGTAGCATGACGTGTGTGTGCAAGTGCAAGAGAAGATCCCAGAGCGTAGCATGACGTGTGTGTGCAAGTGCAAAAGAAGATCCCAGTGCGTAGCATGACGTGTGTGTTTGCAAGTGCAAAAGAAGATCTCAGAGCGTAGCATGACGTGTGTGTGTGTGTGTGCAAGTGCAAAAGAAGATCCCAGAGCGTAGCATGACGTGTGTGTGTGTGTGTGTGCAATTGCAAGAGAAGATCCCAGAGCGTAGCATGACGTGTGTGTGTGTGCGCGTTTGCAAGTGCAAAAAAAGATCCCAGAGCGTAGCATGACGTGTGTGTGTGTGTGCAAGTCCAAGAGAAGATCCCAGAGCATAGCATGACGTGTGTGTGCAAGTGCAAGAAAAGATCCCAGAGCGTAGCATGACGTGTGTGTGCAAGCGCAAAAGAAGATCCCAGAGCGTAGCATGACGTGTGTGTGAAAGTGCAAAAGAAGATCCCAGTCCATGCGCGTTCAAGTTTTCATGAACGTTATTGCCCCACCCCACCCCACCAATCCCCACCCTGACTGCACAATATACATTCCATGCATGTGCCACTTGACATGAACGTTATTGCCCCACCCCACCCCACCCTTCCACCCCCCATATCACAGATATGCATATTGTATTGCGGGTTTCTAGGGACGTGCATGGTTTTAGTAGGAAAATTTGTCAGATCTACACTGGCTGCCAGTTTGCTCAAAACGGATCACTTTCTGCGGTGAAATCTCTCCTGTCAGGATGATGCCTGCGGCGCGCCAGCCGCGCGCACAAAAAAGGGGTGTTGATGCAGCGATTGCCCTGAAAATGATTGAACCCTGCCGGCTGCACGTCACCTGAAAAGATGTTTTCCAATATGCTACTACAGTGGCTGCGCGGTTCCATGCGGTTCCGCAGCGGTTCCGCATCATGTTTTCTCTTTAATTTTTGGTGTATCACTGTGAGATGAGGAGCTGCAGGTCCGATGACCATTCGTCCACTCATTCGACCATCTCATTGGCCTATTTTTGTTGGCTCGCCGACTATATATTTCTTTGATAAACAAGATACACATTTGCACAAATTTACCCAAAGGCAGCGCTTGGGGGTATTATAACACTATTTTATAACTGGATGATCTGGATGGGAGTTGATCATTGGCTTACCACGTTGCATAGTATCGATGATGCCTTACCCTTTTCAATTTCAAAAGCAAGGAGCTGGTGCCGTGGCAGCTGAGTCTGGGCCTACCTCCTCTTCCTCAGACCAGGCAAGTGGCATAGGATCAGTGTTTTTCACCATCAAACTTGCATAAAATTGCCATTTAAGCGTGCCCCACTTTTGAACAAACCCCATAAGTATGTTTGTCAATTACATACTGCAAATACATACATGACCTGACATGCCATGCCAGTCCATTCCATTCCACATGCGTGCAATACGGATAGAGACCTGGTTGGTGTTTTGTTGTTTCCACATTGAATGATGATCCTAATTGCTTGACTCCTCTTTTGGGGGACGGATATCTGAAGCAACCAGGAATGTTTTCGATCATATGGTTACAGCCTCTCTGTTACCCGTATAGTGGTTTAGATGCGCTTCGAAAGGATGGGTTTGTTGAACGTGGGCTAGCCAGATTTTGTGATGCTTGGGACTTGTATCTGAACAAAGCTATGAGGATGTCTGAGATTTGGCTTGACGATTGAACCCTTCTAGCGCCGCTTCCCTCAATCTGTCAATGAAAGTCGCTCCAAGACTAGAAACAGTATTACTGTATGTACCAACATATAAAATCATACAAACACTTCTAGACATATGATTTCAAACATCTATTTCCCATTGGGAAGGGGCCCCTCCATGCCCCTCCTGGGTCAAGATTTGTGGACCTGCGCCTCCTGCGCCTCCTGCGGAGTCACGGAGGCGCCGAAGCAGAGACTTTCTGTGAGGGGCGCCAGAAGCCCGCCTTCCCAAAGAGTGGAATGCTGGGTTAGAACTTGGAGGGATTTGCAGACGAAATGATATGCTTTGAAGTAAACATAAGTAAACAACAGAATTTTTCTTCAGTCCTGAAATGATTTCAGTATATTTCAGTATTGATCCAACCATTCAAACATATCTGTACAATATCTTACTGTGACTGCAAACTGCTGTTCAAGGCTATTTGGCTGGATTTACTTCCCAGACAACTCAAACATATTCAAACGAGATTCTTTATCCAAGTGACTACCGGGCAATACGTCCGGAGGTCTCAAGTTCCTTGGCAAGCAGCTTGCGAGGAGGAAAACATGTAGAAACGTATGGGTCAAAGTTTTCAATCCTCTCAACTGTATGGCTTATTTTTGTTTCTGTTTGGTGGTTTCAAATGTGTTTTATATGCTCTGCTCAACCATATTTGGGATGTTGTTTTTTCCGTTGTTTTTTTTCCCGTGGGTTGAAGCCACCAAGCAGTACGAAAAAGTTAGCATTTGCTGGGTCCATTGATACCCCAATTTTGACTCATACCCATATCCGCGCAGTTTGATCAGTTTCATACTTCAGATTCTTTCAGATGGGAGATGTTAGTTTTTCAAGGATTCTGCTGAGTTTTATGCCTGCCACTTCGATGACCCAGGGCTGGTTGATCATATCACAAACCTTTCCGGTTGTCGAATGGTCCCTTTGATCCTGAAAGCTCGGTGAAGGCGGCTTTGTCGTATGGCGAACCGCCCATTCCGGCTTGGCTTCAGATCACAGCAACAAAATACAAGAGACCAAAAAAAATGCTAGACTTTGGATGAGTCAATGGTTGTATGAATCAATGGTTGCTGTCATCAAAATCTGTGCGAACTGAACTCTGGACGAGGTCATCGTTATTGTAGTTATTATACATATATATATATATATCACACCAATGGTTTTCAGTGCCGTGAAGAGTATTGATTCCTTCATAGATATTGAATCCTATGGGTCACCAGGGCCGGGCCAGTGGCCATGCGGCTTCCAATTGAATGGCAAAGGATCAAAGAGGAGGTCCTGCGGACGTGTTTCTGCCACCGAAATTTAGGTTACCCTCCAGTAAACTAACATATAGCTATCCAAATGGCCCATTTATAGTTGCTTTGCCTATTAAAATTGTGATGTTTCATAGCTATGTAAACGTGCACCAGAGGGTATAATATACTATCCTGCTAAAAGTGATGAGTTTGTTGTGGGGTATCTAAACCGATTTCCGTTGCTTGCAGTTTAGTTTTTGGGCTCATGGTTTGGACGAGGTGTTTTAATGGGGTATCATGCTGTTCATGAACAACAAGTGTTTGTAGTCATTGTTTGAAAACCATTAGCAGCGCAAACGCTGTCCACAAATCTTGGAAGCCACAAATTCGATAGAGAGAGAGAGAGATAGTTTTCAACATCTGTAAATGGGATTGTCGCATAATTTAGAAATGTCATAACATAGCGGTAACTATACGCAGTTTTGAGACACTCACCCAAACATACCAATACCTCATGTTTCGCGTTAACCCCCTGTTTTGAACTATGGTTGATGGTTAGATTAACTCCTGATTTTTGATGGCAGTTTTAATCACTACTTGGGGGATGATCCCACTTAGTACGAGGTGACCGTAACCCTGGTGACCGTAAGTCCCTTGTCACTGGACTCAGCTTTTTTTCGATCCGTCGGATGATTTTCCAATGGTATGTTTCATGGAAGGTTTCCATATCATGAACCACTATCAACAATAATTTACCAGTGTTAACCATGATCAACAATGATTAACCATCATTAACCATCATTGACCATCATTAATCACTATCAACCAGCATTTACCTTTTTAAACCAATAGTTAATAATCATTACTGTATATGATCCATTGTGTACACCATTAATAACATTTATTGACCATTGGACACTAGATAATAATCATTAGATTGACAATCATTAACCATTGCACATGATGATCCATTGTGTAAACCATTTTTAACAATTATTATTAATCAATAGATAATAATCATTAAATCTGGACATCTTTACGTCATCCTTTTGACTCCCATCATGCCATCCCAACGTCGAGGCCTTTGCTCATCCATGCCTGGTGGCTGCCTGTTTGACGGTGCCTTGGTGCTTCTTTGACGTGGCTTGAATGGAGTGAACGGGGTCAACTTTGTATAGCTTATTCCATGTATAAATATATATATATGGCTGGATTCTAAATTTATTGTTACTAATCACTTACTAAGTGGCTGATCCTCCAAGTACTCTAATCTCTTTGATGGATATATATATATATAGTACTAACCATCATCTAACCGTCTGAAACAAACTCACTTTTTTGCAGGGTATCTAAGATTGGCCACGTGAAACTCAAAGCAGAAGGCCTTTCAGATGTAGCTCGTTGACTCAGGGTGATGCATGGGAATTTGTTGTACTTAAGAGTATGCTTGCGAGGTTCAGTATATCTGGTTGGTGGTTTGGAGCATGAATTTATTTTTCCATTCAGTTGGGAATTTAATCATCCCAACTGACGAACTCATATTTTGCAGAGGGGTAGGTCAACCACCAACCAGACATAGGATGGAAAGATGCCCAGTCGCAACGTTCAGTATCCTCTGCAGGGCTGGCCTGCGCTGCATTGCTTGAGTTTGTGTCTGTCAATCCTGGGTGGTGAGGCACAGACTGGGGCAGGGACTGGGGACCCCTTGGAGATGATACTACAAATCTCCAGAACTTGTTGCTTATATTCTAACCCCAAGAAATGGATATGGTATGGTACATATGTAATATAGCAATATATTGTGTATACGGTATCGACATTTAAACATATGGAGGGCGGGCCAGACCATAAGGCCCCGGGGGTAGTATGAAACACCAGTTCCATTCAGTATATTTAATCGTGGATTCCGTGGAAAACCTTCCCGGCGATAGTCTAAAATACGAGTTCTTATTTATATATATGTAATTATATACAAAAAAAATAGATGTAGTTACCGTGTATTATATACTGTATATATATATATATTATCCCAAACGCTCACCGATCCCTCGTCCCCTTCCGACACGTCCCGGCCCCTGGGCCATCACATTTGAGACCCAGAAATTGGATGCATACCCATGAGAGATCTGGGACAGAGCTAGGAGCGAGAAAATGTAGATATAAAGTTGTTTTCCTTTCACTTTTCATTTCTTTCCTTTTCCCTTGAATTCCCCTTGCATTTCCGTTCATGTCCCTTTCTTTCCATCTCAAGTCCCTTTCATTTCTCCTTCATTTCCCGTTCATTTCCTTGCACGTCCCTTTCATTTCCCTTTCACTGCCCTTTCGCTTCTTTCTCTTTCATACCTTTCATGAGACATTTCCCCCTTTATTTCCCTTTCATCTCTCTTTTGTTTCCTTTCATTTCCCTTCCTTTGCCGTCTTATTTCCTTTCATTTCTCTTTCATGACCTTTCATTTCCCTTTTCAATTCCTTTCATTGTCGGTTCATTAATTTCCTTGATTTTATTTTTGTTTCACTTCTATTTCATTTTCTTTCATCTCCTTTCATTATCTTTCATGTCTCTACATATTTACGGTTGTATTGGATGTATCTATATATACACATATATATATATATCAACATATAAAGATAGATAGTGTTCACTATTTGTAGTTGGAGAAGGCAATGGGTGCTGATCTTAGTGGTTCTGGCATGTAATGTCTACATTGCAAACAGCATGGCGTCACACACATATATATATAAACTGGTATATTGATTGATTGTTTGTTTGTTGTGTCAGGCTTGTTTTCTACTATTCTAAAGGCAACATTCCCATATTCAGAAAATCTTCGCATACCATGTTTTCATCGTACTCCAGACCTGGGTTTTGGTATGTTACTTTGATAGGCATTTCAGCTCAATCTGGAGGGAACAGTTGGCCCACGGCGAATCCATTGAATGCCCCTCCACAGCTTTCTATCCCCTATGTCGTTCCAAAGGAGCTGTGGACGTTGAATGAATTGAAGGCTGCTTTGATAAGGAAGTTTCCTCATTTGTCTACAGAAGAAGGACAGGGTTGTCAAAGGTAACGTTTTTAAAGGTTGGCTAAGTAAAAATTAGCAAGTTTCTTCCCCGGGACCTCACCCAAGGTGAACTTGGAAAAATAGAACCCACTGGTGTGCCCCTGGAAGTTTGGGCCGGCTTTGGGATTGGAATTTTGGTTCTGGCCGCGAAATTTCCCTATGTGGTCTCTATACCAGCCACGCATACTCGGAATTCTTCGCATTCCACAAATTCTTCGCACTCCACATGGGACATCGCACTCCACAGCTAGGGACGCGCACATACTATAAAATCCACGCACTCTGCAAGATCTTCGCACTCCATAAAATCTTCGTACTCGGTAATTTTTCGTTTTTTTCGTTTTTTTTCTTTTTTTTTTTCGTTTTTTTTTTTTGGCTAAAATCGCCTGGAATCACGTTTTCTGGAATATGGGAAAGGTAGCGGTTTTTCGTGAGACGTCTGTAGTTGCACATACTATCGCATTCCAGGCAATTTTGGCCAAAAAAAAAAGAAAAAAGAAAAAAAAAGCTCAGCAGGGTGAAATGTGATAATTTTCTGGTATATGATGGAAAAAACTGGTGTTGGATTCATGGGGAAGGTCGAAGGGGGCCACGCATACTGTTTTATTTTCGCATTCCAGAAAATTAGCGCACTCCAGGGGTGGCATCGTACTCTATCGGTGGAATTATTTTGCACGGAAGAAAACAGGATCGTCGATGATTTGTGTTCCCAGATCCTGTTGTGCAGAGCTCTTTGCGGGGCCACAAAGATGTCAAGAAAGATGGGGATGGCGCTGCTGATGAAAGGCCAGCCAAGCGTGCCAGAACATAAGCTTGAAGCTTATGAATTGGGTTTTGGGATCGTGAAAAGTGTAGATGACAAATTTCCATAAGAACATTATTAATCCATTTTTGGAAAGCTCAACATTTTTAATTATGACATTTCCAGAAATTGTTGAAAGTAAGGATCTTCTTTGGGGAAGAACATGTGCAGTCGACAACGTACGTGCCAGAAGAAAAGGAATACTTGGCAAACTGTATGAAATACAAATTTCACCTGAAAGGGGTCTTCGCAATTCCCTGAAATTTCCCAGCTATTTTGGCATGGAATATGTTCGGCCCTGGAATATGGGCAAGAAATTGCTAGAACTATATATATATACGTTTGTTCACAAATTGTGTTATCGTGTGTTGTAGGCCTATTATTATCCTAGTTGTGTTTCATACATACACATTTTTTTAATTGCATACTGTATATGTACATAATATCAAAGGAAGCTTAGAAGTCTAAAGTCTTAACTCCATTTTAAGCACAGGGAGTTTGTGAAGAGATGAGAGAAGTGAAGAGAGTAGAGATCAAAGAAAGGTGGCTTAGAGTCATTGAGTAGCTTAAATAATTGTGGGCGTCCCGTCATACAACAATTTGCCAGTTAGAGGCAATTTTCCCCGAACACTTACATGTTGCCCTCAAACTCTTGAACAAAAGGCTTCGATTTGTTACCTCTACGGGACCTTTTTTGGGTAAGGGCCTCGCTTCGGAACGCGTCTTCCGGCATCGCTTCGGAACGCGCTCTCATGCATCGCTTTCGAACGCGCCTCCTCACCATCATCATCATCATCATCGTCGTCATCATCGTCATCATCATCATCATCATCAGCATTTGCATCATGCTTCTTCTTCCGTTTATTCTTCTTTTTCTTCTTCTTCTTCTTCTTTTTGGCCATCCTCTTCCTCATCAGCCTCATCCTCCTCATTATCCTCATCGTCAACAGCACGATCATCATCAGCAGCGTCATCAAGTTTCTTCTATTTTTCTTCAGCATATTTATTCTTCCTCTTCGCCGCCAGCACCATCATCATCATCGTCATTGTCATCATCATCATCATCATCACCATCGTCATCCTCCTCATCATCATCATCAGCAAGATATAAACCCTAAAGGTGTCGTGGCTCTTCTTACATCAAGTGCAACAAGATATAAACCCTAAAGGTGTCGTGGCTCTCCTTACATGAAGTGCAACAAGATATTAACCCTAAAGGTGTCGTGGCTCTTCTTACATCAAGTGAAACAAAATTTGTCTCTTCTTACATCAAGTGCAACAAGATATAAACCCTAAAGGTGTCGTGGCTCTTCTTACATCAAGTGCAACAAGATATAAACCCTAAAGGTGTCGTGGCTCTTCTTACATCAAGTGCAACAAGATATATAAAGCCTAAAGGTGTCGTGGCTCTTCTTACATCAAGTGCAACAAGGTATAAACCCTAAAGGTGTCGTGGCTCTTCTTACATCAAGTGCAACAAGATACAGACCCTAAAGGTGTCATGGCTGTCCTTTCATTAAGTGCACAACAAGATATAAACCCGAAAGGTGTCGTGGCTCTTCTTACATCAAGCTCAACAACAAATAAACCCTAAAGGTGTCGTGGCTCTTCTTACATCAAGTGCAACAAGGTATAAACCCTAAAGGTGTCGTGGCTCTTCTTACATCAAGTGAGACAAGATATAAACCCTAAAGGTGTCGTGGCTCTTCTTACATTAAGTGCAACAAGATATAAACCCTAAAGGTGTCGTGGCTCTCCTTACATCAAGTGCAACAAATATAAACCCTAAAGGTGTCGTGGCAGTCCTTAGATCAAGTGCAACAACATACAAACCCTAAAGGTGTCGTGGCAGTCCTTACATCAAGTGCAACAAGATATAAACCCTAAAGGTGCCGTGGCTCTTCTTACATCAAGGGCAACAAGATATAAACTAAAGGTGTCGTGGCACTCCTTACATCAAGTACAACGAGATATAAAGCCTAAAGGTGTCGTGGCTCTTCTTACATTAAGTGCAACAAGATTTAAACCCTCAAGGTGTCGTGGCACTCCTTACATCAAGTACAACAAAATATAAACCCTAAAGGTGTCGTGGCAGTCCTTAGATCAAGTGCAACAACATGTAAACCCTAAATGTGTCGTGGCAGTCCTTACATCAAGTGCAACAGCATATAAATCCTAAAGGTCTCGTTGCTCTTCTTACATCAAGTACAACAAGATATAAACCCTAAAGGTGTCGTGGCACTCCTTACATCAAGTACAACAAGATATAAACCCTAAAGGTGTCGTGGCTCTCCTTACATCAAGTGCCATAACATGTAAACCCTAAAGGTGTCGTGGCAGTCCTTACATCAAGTGCAACAACATATAAACCCTCAAGGTCTCGTGGCAGTCCTTACATCAAGTGCAACAAGATATAAGCCCTAAAGGTGCCGTTGCTCTTCTTACATCAAGTGCAACAAGATATTAACCCTAAAGGTGTCGTGGCTCTTCTTACATCAAGTGCAACAAGACATCAAGTGCAACAAGATAAGAACCTCAAAGGTGTCCTGGCTCTTGTTACATGAATTGCAACAACATGTACCCAATAGACTGGCTAAGACAAAAATTTGTCTAATCCCTATTCTGTAGAAATCTGACTATTAGGTAATTTTTTTTTTGGTCTAAGACAACTCTTTTTTTGGTCTAAGACAAATTTTGAAAATTTGTCTTAGACAGAAAAAAAGTTGCCTTAGACAAAAAAATATCAGATTTTTTTCAAACTGCCTCAAAACTGCCTCCAAAACTGCCTCCAAACTACCTTATCATTTTTCCATCATTTTGTGGAGGGTGTGCAAAAAGTAAGAGAAATAGTGAGGCAGTTTCCCCAAAAATCCCCAAAAAAGTGAGGAAGTTTCCCTTTAAAGCATGAGGTAGTTTGAAGGCAGTTTCACAAAACACACGAGGAAATTTCCAGGAAATTTCCTCGAAACTTCCTCGTGGAGGGTGGGCAAAAATCTGACTTAGACAGCGTTTATTTGTCTAAGACTCGTGTCTTAGACAAATCTGTCGAGCAACAATTTGTCTAAGACAAATTTACAAAATTTGTCTATTAGACAAATTTTAAAAATCTAGCTATTAGACAAATTTTTGTCTTAGCCAGTCTATTGGGTAATTAAACCCTAAAGGTGTCGTGGCACTCCTTACATGAAGTGCAACAAGATGTAAACCCTAAAAGTGTCGTGGCTCTTCTTACATCTAGTGCAACAAGATATAAGCCCTAAAGGTGCCGTGGCTCTTCTTACATCAAGTGTAACAAGATATATAAACCCTCAAGGTGTCGTGGCTCTTCTTACATCAAGTATAACAAGATATAAACCCTAAAGGTGTCGTGGCTCTTCTTAGATTAAATGCGACCAGATATAAACCCTAAAGGTGTCATGGCTCTTCTTACATGAAGTGCAACAACATGTAAACCCTCAACGACATGTAAACCCTAAAGGTGTCGTGGCTCTTTTTACATGAAGTGCAACAACATGTAAACATCATGTAAACCCTAAAGGTGCTGTGGCTCTTCTTACATCAAGTGCAACAAGATGTAAACCCTAAAGGTGTCGTGGCTCTTATTACATGAAGTGCAACAACATGTAAACCCTAGAGGTGTCGTGGAAGTCCTTACATCAAGTGCAACAACATATAAACCCTAAAGGTGTCGTGGCAGTCCTTACATCAAGTGCAACAACATGTAAACCCTAAAGGTGTCGTGGCTGTCCTTACATCAAGTGCAACAACATATAAATCCTAAAGGTCTCGTTGCTCTTCTTACATCAAGTACAACAAGGCTTTTGTTTCATATATTCACCTTCATTTTCTGTGGCAGGCGTGGGACCTTTTGACATCGACCTTCATTTTGCGTGGCAGGTGTGGCACTTTTGTACATTGACCGTCCTTTTACCTGGCAGGCGTGGGACTTTATGACATGGTTGAAACGAGTCAAATTCTCATACGAGGAGGTTTTTTTTGTTGGTCTCGCTTTGGAACGCGTTTTTCTTCCAAAGTCTCGCGCCTGTCAGTAAATCTGATGTGTGTGCGTGTGTGTATGGCGGGGTTTCCATGAGATGTTTTATTTTGTGTTCTAAAGTGATGCAAAATGGCTGTGTTCTAAAGTGATGCCTGAGAGTGTGTTCCAAAGTGATCCTTTTACCCCTTTTTTGAGCATAATTCCCGACAACCCAAATTGACACTATCTATATATATATATATATATGCTGAGCATATCTTTGTTTTCTCACATCTTGCGAAATTCTTAAGCTTCTGAAGCGGGGCATGGTTGACCACTTGAAACTATGTTGACATGCTGGATTAGAGCTATGCATGCAAAGAAACCCTCGAACACCCTTGTCTCGAAGAAATGAATATTATAAATTCAGGGGAAGGTGGCCATATTCAGTTGGGATATTTGGTCCCCAATGGTAATTTATTTGACCTTTCTTGTGCTGTTGGCTGGCATCGCTAAAGCCATTGGCTGCGCAGTGGTCATCCAGCAAAGAACGTAGCCCCTCTTCGATCGTGGGAGGGATCCGGATTTTCCCCCAGGGACCCTCAATGTTGGAATATGCCGCATATATCTGCATTGCAAGTGTCCGATACCTGTGTCGGAAGCATCCAAGAGCCATGGGATATATACATATGTACGTATTTATGTATTGTATCAATGTATATATATATAATTACATTACTATGTGATATAGCAATATACAGAGCCAATTTTCTTGGTTATTTCTTAGTAATGATATCCCATTCCAAGTGCTAAGTCCATTATGTTGGCTTTTTTTTGAAATAAGGACCCCGCAGTATTTCAATTTCAATGTTATCTGTATAACTATGATTATTTACTATCTATACATACTGTGGATGGAAGAAATCCTGCACCAGTTGGCAACTGTTAGGTAACCATGAAACATTGTGAATAATGGGATTATAAGGGGATAAACCATATACCAACTGGTGCAGGATTTCTTCCATCAACCGTACGATATGACATGATATCATATGATATCCCAATATTTCCACAAAGTATCCCCGGCTTTGATCCCCTCGAAAGGTGGTCTCCAGTTGGGCTTTTCGCTTCGTTCTGGTGCACGTGCTCCAATGGCGCACCTTGACCGATGCTCACGGAGGCGATACGCCCGATACGCACCATGGAACGGATGTGCAACCAGCAAATCGGGACGGTATTCACTATAGAATGGTTACCCTCTGGTAATGTCAAAATAGCTATTGAAAATGGCTATTTATAGTGGACTTTCCCATTAAAAATGGTGATTTTCCATAGTTATGTTAGTTTACCAGAGGGTAACAAAAAAAAAGTTGCTGGGTTCCCGCGCCCCCCCCCATATTTGCGCAAAACACAGAGTGCTTTGTGTTGATGTTCGATAAATCACCGCAATGTCTTGGATGTAGGAATCAGCAAGCCAGAATAAAACAAAGGAGGGCTATGTCTTTTTGTTTTCCAGCTTGGCTTGGCGGCTTTTGTTTTTTTTTGTCGCGTCTGTGGCTTCTGTGGGTGTGTGGCTCTTGTGGCTTTTCCATGCTTTACCGCTTTGCCTGGGCGCCACTTCGTGTCGAACCTTAAATAAACCCTTAAACAACCCTAAACTAAATAACCCTAAACCAAGCCTAAATAAACCCTAAACCAACCCTAAACAAACCTTAAACCAACCCTAAATAAACCCTAAATAAACCGTAAACCAACCCTAAACCAAACCTAAATGACCCTAAACCAACCATAAACCAACCCTAAATAAACCCTAAACCGACCGTAAACAAATCTAAACCAACCCTAAATAACCCTAAATAAACCCTAAACCAACCCTAAATAAGCCCTAATTCAACCCCAAATTACCCTAAATAAACCCTAAACCAACTTTAAATATACCTTAAGCCAACCCTCAATAAACCCTAAATCGTCCTTAAATAATTCTGGATAAATCCTAAACCAACACTAAATAAACTTTAAACCAACCCCAAACCAACCCTAAATAAACCCTAAACCAACCCTAAACCAGTCCGAAATGACCGTAAACCAATCCTAAATAAACCTTAAACCAACCAACACTATGATAGCATCCAATGCCACTATTTAGACCCAACACGGTTGTGTTTCAACCTATATTCTACATGTTCACCAGGTGCATGTTATGCACGGAAAAACCGATTGAAACCATGGAATAATCAATTGAACCCATGGCAAACTCAATTAAAACTATGTAAAAATCGATGAAAACTTTAGCTAAATTCAGGAAAACATAGGTTTTTGCTCCAAAATGTAGCAAGTAGCAAGGAAAAGTGCCCAAGACTGAAAAACACAAACATCTCCCACCCCCCCAAAAAAGATACCAAAACAAAAAATGCACCCTAAAACAAATTAAACATGTGGACATGTGGATCGATCATATATGTGTCCGTCCTCAGTACAAGATCCCAACTGAGTAAACACAAAAAACGTCCCCGTAAAACCTTGGAACTGCGGTCCTGGTTGTTCTGATTTTTGGAACCAAACCCCTCTGTTTTGAATACGTTAAGGGTGTCTGGCCGCAAACAAATGAGGCCAGCCAACAACACGATGGAAAGTGGCATGTTCTTTTGGGGACTGCAATCTCCACGTTACCTGCGTGATCTGAGTCCTGTGGTGTTTTCTAAGGCACTTGGTGAGGAGTCCCGGTGGATATTGTTGGCATCCATAGTGAGCGATGGTCAAAGATCCCTGGAACCACTGGAACATTTTTTTTGTTCATTGCATAGATCTTGGGGGCTCACCTAAGAAATGTATAAAAGATTGATCCTAAGAATATTTCTAAACTCATATTATAGCAGTATAACAACTCAAAAATTATTCACAAAAAAAACCATAACAACCAACCACAATTACCTCATTCATTCCTAAAAATCATCACTACCTACCATCAATCAGGAAATCCGTCACCGATTTTTGAAATCCACCACAGACTTTGGGAAAAATCTGCCACAGACTTTGGGAAAATCAGCCACCGATTTTGGGAAGCTCCGTTTTTGTTACCATTTTTGGGAAAAACATGTTCCGTTTTTGAGAAAAAGCGTGTCCGTTTTTAGGAAAAACAATTTCCGTTTTTGGGAAAAACAGGCTCCGTTTTTGGGAAAAAACAGTGTCCGTTTTTGGGAAAAAAAACGTTTTTGGGAAAAACAGGCTCCGGTTTTGGAAAAAACTTGCTCCGCTTTTGGGACAAAGTGGTTCCGTTTTGGTGCAAAACTGGCTTGGTGTTTGGATTGGCTTGGGACAAAGCTCAAGTCTCACAAGTTTGGGTTTGGATTTTCGAGGTTTAGGACTGGGTGTCTCCAAAACAAGTCAACCGGTAGCAAGTTGGAAGGGTAAAATGCTCAAACCTATAAACTTCGATGCTGAACCTGTTTTGTGTTAGGTACTTTTATGAAATGCCACAAGCACGATTTGAATATACATAATTCCAATTGAGGATAAACATACTTAAACAAATATTAAGATATATAACTAACTATATACACAATATGCCTTGTTACTTTGTAAGCAACGGAGTTGAGATGTCAATGTCTAATCAAACCTTTGACTTTATTTGGAACGGTTTTGGCAACAAAGAACTCATTGACAGCGAAACGTCTCCTTCTTCTGAAGAAGGTGATAAAAGAGGTTTGTTTGTTGACAATTCTAAAAATGTCGAATGGAGAAAGCAGGACGACGGATACTACAACAGAAAACCGAACGACGAAACGTATTTCCAAAGATATTACCAAGACAAAACGAAACAACCGTGCGTATGCGATATATGCGGTTCTGACTTAAGTTGCAAATCAAACTTGGCAAAGCACAAGAAAACGAAGAAGTGCCAGAGGTTCTTGGTTTGAGTTCACTATGATTTTATGATACAAAACAATATCATAAAATTATAATCTAAGTATTTTTAATGACAAGATTGGAAAAAGAAAAGGTATTGGAAATAATATATTACGACTTGGAGGACGGCTTCGGTTCGGTGAGGGACTTATACGAAAAGGCTAGGAAAGTCGATGTGGGCATAACTTTGGATATGGTATCTGCATGGATGAGGGCGCAACCCAACAAGCAAACAAGAAACTACAAGAACTACAATTCTTACACAGCACCGTTCCCGAAGTATGAATTTCAAATTGACTTGATGGATGTCACGAGTTTGCTGCGAGACGTGGGTTCTGAAATCAAAGGTCAACTAAGATATGGCTTAGTTTGCATAGATATATTCAGCAAGAAATGTCACATAGTCCCTATCGAGAAAAAAGACGGTGATGACGTTTACAAAGCAGTCATGGAGTGTTTCAAGGTATTAGGTCAGCCTTTGTCGATTTACAGCGACGACGAAGGAGCGTTGAACAGCAAGAAGCTGCAAACATTCTTTAAGGAGGAAGGTATAACGCGCGTAATAACAAAGACGCATGCAAATCAGGCAGAAAACATGATACGCACGGTCAAAAAAATGATTGGGGACAGATTGAGGCATTACAAAACCAAAACATGGGTGGAAGTGCTAAAGCCCTCGTTGAATAGATACAACAACCAAATCCACAGTAGCACCAAGACAACACCAAATAATGCGCACAATCTTGATAACGTCATTCAGGTCAGAACAAATCTGATACTGAAAGAAAAGCACAACAGAAAATACCCAAACATAAGTGAAGGAGATTATGTTAAGATATTTGATAAAGGAAAGGGCAACTATGCATCAAGGAAAGAAACTAGAAGTCAATGGAGTGAAAGGAAATACAAAGTGATATTAGTTGGTCGTGATATGCTGAATAATAGATACTATAAACTAGATGAAATGAGTAAAATATATAACAGGCATGAACTACTTTTGGTTGGTTAGTAACTGTTCTTCGTTGTTTTATTGTTTTTCGTTTTTCTCTTCTTTCTGCATTCATTTTATCTTTGTTTTTTTTTTTGTATTTTTATCTTTGTGTTTGTCTCATTGCTTCTCTGTTTTCTGCTCTATGCTTTGAATTCTTCTCATAATATTTATCCTTATCTTTGTAGGGTTTTGTTTTTTTCGTGTATTTTATTTATTTTTGTTCTCATGATGCTGTTTGTTTTTTCTTTGTACTTTTCAGTAGTCTCTATTTTAATATTTTTTTACTGTTGAAGGTGATGCTCTCCTGTGGCATCGCAATCTTCCTTTCTAGTCCTACCAGCAATACATTTGCTAAGACAGTTCTTATCATTTTCATTATATTCACCTTCTTTCTTTTCGGGTTGCTTTCTGTTTTGGCATGGGTATTCTTCAATAAGAACTATTTTACGGTTTTCAACATCGAACTCATCAAACAATTTCATAGAGAGAGGATGGCGCTTTTGGGGATTTGCATTGTTTAAGTTTATGAAGATAAGATTTACAATCTCTTCTATGTCTTGCCATTCTTTGACTCAGTTTTTCAGTTGTTGAACTTATATCCATATATCTTAAATCATCTTTTCGTTACGTAGATATTTTATGGCGTAATGTCCAAAGGGGAGACTTTCAAAATCTGAAAACCAGTAGCGTTTATTATCCGTAGTTGCTTAAAGCATATTTAGTCTGATTAATGCTATAGATTTGATGGTTCTTACTTCTGATCCTGTTAAAACTGACTTCTTCTTTACAGTTTCTATTCAATGTCTCTTCATACGTTTGGTAACTTAACTGATTGCTCACTTTATGCTTGACTACTCCTTTACTTTTCTTGTGTTCTTTCTCATCACCATATACTTTATAACAATATGCCTTCGGTTTCAATCCTATAAAGTGAGTAATTATTTTACCGTTCATTTCATCCTTGAATTTTCCCAATACCTTCTTGTTTGTTTTATCATAGTTTGGATGCTCTGGTGGATAATCACTGAAATCCATGTATTCATTTATCTCCTCAAAGTCTTCATATAAGTCATCAGTCTCAACTTTGATTACATAACTATCAGTATCAGTATATACCAACTTAATTTTATCATCATATTTTGGTTTCAAAACATCATAGTAAAACGAATACATGTGAATTTTAGAATAGTCCAAAATAGACATACCCATATAAATAGGTTTGTTTAGTTAGTTCCACTGTATGCTTATCTTTTTCAACAGTCACAAGGTCTTCATTTATGATATACCTGTGCTTGAATAATGGTTTATTTACCAGTTTTTTGGAAGCGTTCAGGCGTATTGACTAACTCATACTCACCATGCTTTCTTACATTCTCCATGGTCTTGCCATATACACTGTTATTCATTAGCTTAAACAAATCTTTTTCAAAACCATTTTTGGCATTCTTTCTCTTTTCAGTGTTGAATTCAATGAATGGTTTTAGGAAGTTTGCTTGTTTAAAACTTATTGCCCTATGGACTTTTCTCAGACTTAATCCATGCTGTAAATAAAACTTCAATGCTGATATATTTAATACTAACTTATTTGTCTTTTCATCACTGGCATCTTGTCCATAATAATATTTGTGTATATCCTTTTGGACTTGTGAAAGCATATTCTCATTGATACACATGATTTCAGGTGCTAGTGGGTAGTCTTTATGTAAATCATGAAGTTCCTTTGGATAATCTAAATCAACTTCTAATATGTATCCTATGTCATCATCATCACAATATTTCATTACTCTCTTTTCATCCATTCTACCGTAATGCCATTTAAAATCATCATAGGGAAGTTTCTTACACATTGCTAATCCGTAAAGATTATTAGCATCCAGATAACTTATGTACGCAGAAGGTTTAGATTTATCATAATCTTCATTCATATATTTATTGTTTGCGTCTACTTTCTTAAAGGGGCACTGTGTCATTCCTCCTCTTAAGCCATTTTCAATCATTTCATACATTTCTTTTATGTGGAGTTGTTGAAGTCTAACTCCTGTTAATGATAAAAAGGCGTTCCAAGAATAGTTAGGTAAAGTGATATAATATGCTGGGTCTAACCCATAATAGTTCAAACACATATCCCTGAAATTTTCAAAAACATCAGTCAGTAAATATACATCAGTCATCAAATACAAATCATGATATTCACCAAGATTGTTTATGTTAAAATGTTTCCATACAATATTTGCTCTGGCGTAGTCTTTGTCTGTTATGTTTTCTTGATATAGTTGACTGTAAAAGTCTTCTTTCTTTGGCAGTTTTGTTTCATCAAACTTATCCCATGAATTCATATAGTCGTAGGGATATACTCCTTTATCAGTTAGTAAATTCAAATCAGTTTTAGATTTGATGTATGGATTGGTGCTTGTATATCTGAAACGAGTGTCCCAGTCTTTTATCTTTCCATTTCCTTCATATTTATTTAATCTAACTAACTTATCCAATGAAGCAGTTAAGAAAGTGAAACTGTCTTTAAACTGACAAGCACCGAATGAAAAGGTTATGAACTTTTCACTGTTTTGTGCTATTACATCTATTCTTTTGTTTTGGTTTAGTTCTATGTTTAGTTCATTTGTTTTTGCTATGATTAAGTGTGCGTCATAGTTTTTAAGATTATGAAAGAAGATAGGGATTTTAAAAAACTTAAATGAATAATCCAGATTACATTTTATATGTGCCGCGCCTCTGTATTTTCCAGTGAAGTGGCAGTGGTCGCGGACTTTTGTATCGTCTTCTTGAAATTTCTTACCACAAATGGAGCAGTTTGTTGCTTGTCTAAATTCTATATTTTGTTCATAAGTTAATTCATCCATTGGTTTATTTACATTCATTTTTTCAAATATATCTCTCTTAATTTCAGTCGGGTTTTCTACAAACTTTTTCATACAATCCTCACCTCTGTGTAAGTATGGTTGGCATGTATTATCAATCCTGCTTACTACATTTAACATATAACCGCACGGTTTATGTTCCTGATATGTGCCTTTTATTCCATTGTTAGAGTTAGTGGTTAGACATTCAAAATCGCCATAGATTACAAAAGGACAAGGCAATTTAGTATTATGTTTTTCTGATTCTATATAAGTGTCTTTATCAGGCATCTTTGTTTGTTGTCCTTCCGATGCCATACATCCTTTTTCAAGATGGTTCTTGTATGCCTTTTCTGATTGAAATGGATTTAAGCAATGGTGGCAGTAAAACTTTTTATTAGTGTTGCTACTGCTCTGACAGTTTAATAATCTACATTTGTTTTTTACTAATGCATAATGATAGTGATTATCTTCATCATAGACTTTTAACAAATCTATTTCGTATTTAGCATTTCTGTTTTTAGTGCCTCTATGTAAGATAATTTTATTATCATTTAGGCAGTCATCAGGTTCAAAAACATTTATTGAAACTAACTTGTTGTTCTCTTCAAACCTGTCTATGTCCCTATTACCCGTTGGAAAATTCACACCAACCCAGTTCAAAATATCATCTTTCAATTTGTTATAGTGAAACATTTCCTCTGGGTGATGTTTGCTAATTTTGTCATAGACTACGGATTGAATACAATATTTGAAGCATTTTTGGTCTTTATTTTTGATGTTGATACATGCCTTTTTTAACTTAATCCATTCTGGTAATTCTATGTATCTACCTGCTCTTGTTGGGTCATATCTGTCATAGTGAATAGTTATTGTCAAAATCTTTTTGAAGCGTAAATTTGATGCTGATGCTTCTAAATTTTGCATTTGTAATAAGATTTGTTTAACACTGTCTTCTAATGCTTGTGTTAGTTCATCTTCATTACTGATATTAAAGCGCGTTGATGGTAGAGCATACACAAGTTCCTGACTTCCAATTTCATTTCCTCCATCATCATATTCAGGTTTTTCAAATAATGCTTCCGTTCTTATGTTAAGTTTCATGCTTCTATTCTTTCTTAGAAATTCTAACAGTTTTTGTTTTTGATGAGCAATCATTTCCAAACCTCTTTCTCCTTCAAAGTGTTTATTTTCTAAAACTATTGAATTAGCATATCTTCTAAATGCTGATTGGATATCTCTGACCTTAAATTTGTTTTGTATTGCGTGTTTGGTTAGTAAGTTTCTGACTTTTCCTTCACTAAACGCATCCTTTGCCTTGTTTAAAGCATAACTTCTGTATTCATTGGTTTTCTTTACTGATAATAGTTTCTTTGTTAAAACATTTGATACGGGTTTGACTTTGTTGTATCTAAATTTATTGTTGTCTATTACTATTGTTTTCAATTTTTTTCTTCCTCTTTTTGGTATTTCTGCTAAATCATTACTCAATAAATAGTCTATAACTTTTTTCATAATATAATAGTATATATTTTATTTAGTTAATATATCTTTAAGTAGTTTTTTAAAGAATGCCTTAATTTAATCTTTGAATATATACTTAAAGAATAGTTATTTAAGTATATGGTAGGATGGATTGTGTGAAGGATTTACCTGTTGATGTGCTGAGTAAAATTTTGTCTTATAAGATTGGAGACCCTAAATATTTGAAATTTAAATATAATCATATTGAGGCATTAAAGAGAATACAAAACAAATATAAGATTTCAAGACTTGGTCCTAAAATAACAAGACATTTGAAATCAAGAAAAAAAATATGTAATTGAGTACTGTATTATGAGAGAGGGAGTGCCATTTAGTTTGAAAAGTATAGAAGACATAATAAAAGAAGAACAAGAAGAATTACTAACTTTGATTAAGACAAAGTAGAAGATGATTCAAATTATAGAGTTAAACTTGATATTGAAGTTCAATTAGTGGCAAAACTCCCAGAAAAGGAATATGGAGAAAATGAATTTAGTTATAGAGAGATTTATTTTATTAATGACTTTGATGAATATGTAGATGAAGATAATATAGATGAAATATTAGAGAAAGCAGTTGAAGAAATAAAAACCGACATAGAAGAAGACCGAGATAAAGATAGTATGATAGGAATACAGGCATTTCATTTTAAATTAGTAATTATTGAAGACATTTACTACTAACATATTTCTAATAATATTTATCTATTAGAATTATGTATTTGAAAGATGGGATTATTAAAGACTAAGGAATAATATTTATTGTTGTTTGTTGCTTTGTTCTTTATATTGTTCTTTGCTTTGTTTGTTTTTTGTTTGTTGGGTTGTTGTTTGGTTTTGGGTATGGAATGGATGAGGTGATGATGTATTGACTGCTATGTTTTTGTGAAATGGATGAGGTAATAGATAGTTAGTAGTTATGATTGATGAGGAATGAATGAGATGATGATATGGTATGTAGTGATGATTTTGTGGAATGAATGAGGTGATTGATGGTAGGTAGTGATGATTTTTAGGAATGAATGAGGTAATTGTGGTTGGTTGTTATGTTTTTTGTGAATAATTTTTGAGTTGTTATACTGCTATAATATGAGTTTAGAAATATTCTTAGGATCAATTTTTTATACATTTTTCACCTACCCGCTCTACCCCTAGGCCTTTGATCCGTTAGGCGATCAGTCCCTGACCGAAGAAGCGAAGTTGGCGGGGAACTTGTGGCAGCTCGGTCCCTTGCCCCAGTCCTTCCGGGACAGTGCTTGGAGAGCATGATGCTCTTTCTTTCCCTCCAGTATGTCTGCAAATTGGCATTCCTGCTTGTGAATTAGGCTTAGGATCTTTTACTTAGTCATTGTGGATTTTTCTATCTTGGCGCGCAGAGTTTTTACATTTGTTCGTGCCAAGGATGACAAGCATTTTGGCCTAATTGCCTTGTGCGACAACGCTTGTCATTTGCACTTCAATAACATTGCAGTTCATTGTTTCAGCCACACTCATTAAATTGGCAAGGACATATTACCTGGGGCAGCCCTCTCTCGCTCTCTCTTTTTCTCTCTTTGCTCAGCTGCTCAGGTCTTCTAGGTATCGTCCGGGCCCTCAAAGACGCGCAATGTCGCAAGATGTTGCAGAAAGTTTATGAACCAGGTGAAACATGTGAAACATTGTCAAACCATTGAATCAGAGCAGATTTCCGATCAGATTTCCATTGTACCCAGCATTTTTCCAGGTGTTTTTTTCCACCCAGGCAACGAGCATCCCTCCAGCCGCGGTGATTGGAGCAGCCTGGTTGCATCAACTTGGGCCTGCAGCCCTGCTCGTTTTCATCAGCTCCTTTTCCTATATCGACTATACCGGGTAAAGGATAAAGGATATAAAACCTGCATTCAAATCTCTGAATCCCACATTGCTTCAAGTAGTTATTTTGGTTAATGTCAGCCCTTAATTAATAAACCACTACTATGCTTCTGGGAGTTACCCCCCACAGTTTTCAGAATTACTAATCCCGGACCCCCTATTTCTAAACACCCCCATGCTATGGTCCCAGTCATATGTGGTTTCATCCCCTACATCCACCATGGTTTCTGCTGTCTAATATGAACGGGGGAAGGGATTACTATGCCACTATTAATCATGATCAACAATGATTAACCATTTTGAACCAGTATTAACCACTATTAACCACAAGAAAGTGGGGACGGGACCCCCCTATTGAATCTATGATCATTAGTATTCTTGTCATTCCCATATATATATATACACATAGACTACTATCAGTTGTTGGTTATTTGTTGCTTATAGTCCCAGACATATCATGAAATATCTAGATCCCTACAGGATGGTGTCCCCCCAGTTGTAAGTTGGTTTATAAACCCCATCAACTACCCTATCAACTATAGTCTATAGTCATCTATAGTTAAATCTACCATAAACCATAGTTAAGCCACTTCTATCTCAACTGCACGCTATCTGAAGGGGGCCCCATCCTGTATTGAATCCTTTCAAAAGTGGGGAAGTCGAGGTCATCTCGCTGATGCATTTGGGCGGAGAGCTTTCCTTGCGCCGCGCCAAGCTGGCCTTCACTGGGCAACTGACAGCCACACTCTGGGCAGCTCGGCTCAGCGGCAAGGAAATCCTATGAATAAAACGAGGTTCTAATGGGAAAATGTATGAAAATGTGGTAAGATCATCCAGAAATGGAGGTTTTAATGATATAGAATCATCAACCAATGGAGATTTAATGGGAACATCATCCAGAAATGGAGGAGATCGGTACATTGGTGGATTTTATAGCAAACCCTGTTTGATTGCCGGAGGGTATCCAACCTTTGTGGTCATATGTCCAGACAAATTGATCATGACCTCACCACGTTTAGCTTGATGACGTGTTATATGACTTGTTATCATTCAAGGGGTGGCGAACTTTGATCCCTTATGAAGATAAAGTTGATGTTATTACCCCAGTCAACATATCGTTCAGAGGGGGTGGCGAATTCTCATGTGATGATGATCGTGATGTGATGACGTCATGATGTGATGATGATGATGATGATGATGATGATGATGATGATGGTGATGATGATGGTGATGATGATGATCATGATCATGATCATGATCATGACGATTGTAAGTGTGGAGCAATGTCTGGGTTGGGGCGTACTTTGTTTAAATGTATGTGTGTAGTACATAGTATGTGATATGTATGTTCCGACGACAAAAGTGGGGATTTGTTTCAACAAGGGTTAGGCTTAGAATGTGTATGAATGTGTAGTACCCAAAACGGCATTATTTACTTAGAAGAATTGCTACACCTTGCGTATGGTTGGGTTGGCATGGGTTGATGGGTTCGTGTTGTTTCCAAAACATGGGATATCTATCAGGAAATGAACGATAGGAGGGTTCCAGAGTAGCGTGGGTCCAAAAAACAGGAATCTGCATGTGCAGTATTTGATCGATTTATTAAATATATATATATATAATATATAATATATATATATATATGTATGCAGCATGCCAACAAAAACGGGGCCATTGACCATCCAAAACTGATGCGTTTGGCTAGAAACCCCGTCATGTTGAGCGTAGTAACTGGGAAACCTCTGGGGAAGTGTTTTAAAACACCACTTGTAAGTGGTATGGAAGATATTTCACCGGGGGCCAACCAAGCAGATGGTCAAAACACGTCATGTACAAGCTACATGTTTGGCCGTAATTCAGCAGTTAATGACGCTACGCGTTCACTAAGTTCGGATAGGCCTCAGACGATGCCGGGCTGATATTATGAAAATTGCGTTTGCCCAAATTTATGAACTTAGAAATCCCATCCTATCCCCAACTCAGTCCTATATGATCGTTGCTGCTTTCTGTAAAACTCCCATTTGCAGACATATTGGCATATTCCCTGAGTTTTCCAGCCTTCTGACAGCTGGCACTTAGAGCTGGGGATGCCTCAGGCACTTTGCTCAGTTCTCCTTCTGATAAGGTGCTGCTTGATTGGGAGCATATCGGGAGCGAATGGGGAGTCCACTGTGGGTTCCCAAAGAGGGGGACCCCCAGATCAGCCAAATTGGGTCATTTTTGAAGGGAAACCCACAGCTTGGATATCCAACTTTGAGAACAAACCGCATATCTATTATAAGATTGTATATTAGGCGCAGTAATGTAACTCTGGATGAACGAACATTACTCTTCTGGAGCTTCACTTCTACACATTCTCTGTGCGACAACGTTTCCACCAGTTGCTGAGGTGTCTACATTGATTCATTAGAGGGAACACTTAAACCATTCATGGCTTTGCTAATGATGAGTGTCCGTGCAGTTACAGTTCACATCTATGTGGAGTCAAATGCGGAGTCAAGGCAAAGCCTTGATTGAAGGTTTGTTCAGCACCCTGCCATTAGCCATGAAGATGACCTGCTTCGGAGGTTGTGCTCTCACTGGAGGTATAGAACTTGTAAGGAGGCGCGCGGACTTTGTGAAGCCGCAACTTTATTGCCTCAAGCTTTTCAGAACTGTCGAGAGGAGAATCGCATAGCATATAGGTATACATAGGCGGTATGTACGGGTCGAAGATGTTTCGTGGCAATAGATCCACTTGTGTTGGTCCTGCAACCAGACCAGCCTACAGCAATTTTTTATATAGCTATTGCACGTGTTTTTCAAGAGATACCGTACCCCCCTCTGCAATAAAAGTCATAGGATGGGGTTTTGCGCACCTGTCCTGTATCACTTGGTTTAATTTGTTTGGATATCTATCGATCGATCGATTGATTCATCGATCCTATCTATCCATCCAATTTGATCTAATCTACTAAATGTCCTAAATGTTAATCTATTTGTTAATCTTACTCTCATCTAATCTATCTATGATGCAAATGAAGGCAAAGTTGTAAGTCACAACTTTGCAGTTCATTTCTTTAGACCAGGTAGGTTTCTATGTGGGCCACACGGGACTGGCAGTCCCTGGCAGGTGGAGAAGAAGGATGACTTTGTGTGTCAAGATCCTGTTGGGACGCCTTGGATGTGGTGCTCAGCGGATTCGTTCTATATGTGTCATGAATAGGAAGATGATCAAGTTCTGCAAGCAGTTGAATTCAGTTGCTGTTCAAAAGCCCTGTTGAATCCTGTTGATTCGTAACCGGAGCTAAGAAACTTCCCTTATGTCGGCAGAATCCATAAGAATCCCGATGGGCCCCGGATCTGCCAACCCAAACCCAAAAACACGGCCATGGTGGCCATGGCGGTCAGGTAGAGGCCAAAGTGCAGAGGGTCTTGATGTCCTTCGCTTGTTACTTCGAAACGACCATTGAATGCCACTTGGCGGACCAGGATATACCAGGATGGGATTTCATCGGGAGTTGGCCTTCGGTAATCAAACATGGCAATCGGAAATCCATGGAAATCCCGGTGGTAAATGGAGGCAGCAATGGGGAAATCATCGGGTTAAATGGGTGATCTGATCTGCCAGCGAGCCATGTGACTGATTACGGGAGATACCCCTTTAAGATGCGGATAGATACGTAGATGGAGTTAATGATATGATTATATATTATATACACATATATACACATATATATATATTATTATATTATATTATAATACATTATATTATATTACATTATATTATATTATATTTTATTGTATTATGTTATATTATATTTTATTATATTATATTATATTGTATTATATTATATTATATTAGATTATGTTATATTATGTTATATTATATTATATTATATTTTTTATAGATTATATTATTTTATATTAGTTTATATTTTATATATATATAGATATATATATAGTCTAATATATATTATAAATAATAAAATATATATATATATTACACGAGACGATGGGATAATCAAGTTGGAATTGCCACGATGGGACTTGTAAATAAATTGGGACCATGTTCCCTCGCTGCAGGTCATATTGTCAGCACATCACATGAAATCATCCCAAAGGATCCGTAAAAAGTTCCAAGAAGTTTCCAGTTTGGAATCTTTGTTTATTTATACATATCTAATATAGTATAAATATCAGATTTGGGATTTACTGGTTGGTGGTTTGGAGCATTTTGTATTTTTCTATATATTGGGAAGAATCATCCCAATTGACTAAGATTTTGCAGAGGGTTTGAAACCACCAACCAGAGTATTTTTGACAACAACACCAAGATATTCAGGATGATTCAGTGTAGGGTTCACCACATTACCCATGAAGACCCAGGATTTATTAATGGTTGTTTCATAGTTCGAGAATCTGATCAAAACTGAACCCAGGTTCCCAACTTCAGCCGACATTTGCAGTTCTGCAGCGAAATGGCATCACCCAAATGGGAATCATACGGAATCATCTTAAAATTGGCGATCCAAAAACCTCCCAAAGATACCCTCTGGTAAACTAACATAACTAGGGAAAATCACCATGTTTAATGGGAAAACTATTGGAAAGTTCACTATAAATGGCCATTTTCAATAGCTATGTTAGTTTACCAAAGATCTCCAAAAAAGTGGTTTTGAATTTGGCTTGTCATGAGCTTATCCAGACGTCGTCTTGCCCAATTTCGCAGGTCAGGTGGTCTTCGTCATTCTTTGCTGCTTTGCTGGGAGCCTGGGTGCTGACACTGAAGATGTGGGAACATTGGTTGATAAACGCGCGCGGACCTCTCTAAACCCATTGGTTTTGTGACCCTTGTTTTGACATGTTTATGTGTTTTTGCATGTTTTTGATAGAAGCTAGCTGATACTTTCAGCATCAGCCTTGACCACTGAATTTATAGCCACTAATGTAGCATTCTCCCCAGCGTCCTGCACAATTCGCTCCTGGCATGGCATATGGCCATTGTTTGTTGCACATATCCATCATATTCCCCCATGTTTGCTAGTTCAATATCCATTTTTTTCTTTGGAGACCCTCATTTCTGTTCGTTCCATCCCCATTCGGCTTCGGCATCGCCCTTGGCTAAATAGAAACCAATGCCTGGCTGGTGGTTTGGTAACATGTTTTATGACTTTCCATATATCAGGAATAGTAACCCCAACTGACGAAGTCATATTTTTCAGAGGGGTAGGTATACCACCAACCAGATGTAAATCATTGTAAATCAATGTAAATCAATGTTCATTAAATCATACATTCCCCTTTTCCCTTCAATTCCAAGTTTTTTGTTGGTCAATCCAGCGTTTTTGCTGGTGATCTACCCAAGGGCCTGTGCGCCGTGATCTCCCTCCTGGGTTCCATCGTTGGCTTGTATGGCGTGCGGCGCCGAAGCCACCATCGGGGGTCATCAGATAGGGCTAGAAGCAGCAATCATGAAGATATTATGGCTATCTTTCTATGGCTCCAAGTTTTTATGGCACAACCAGTTTTTTCAGTTTTTGGCACCTCAAGAGGTAAAATGGGAACATCTCCACGGTGGTTCGTGGTTTGGGTTGCTGCTTTGGATTGCAGGGGATGCCTCCTAGTGATGGTCCCTTTTACAGGGGGGTTCTGGGATTCAACGCTGCCAACCCAAAACACCTGGGTTACATTTGAGAACGGATCAAGATCTCTCAGCACCTCCATGCACAGATCTTGGTGACGTATTGGAATCTGAGACCATCTCACGTCCCAGTGAGATGTTGATGCACTTGAGTTTTGACCCAGATGCCGAAAGCTTAGGTACTACAGCTTCAAAGACACTTGGAAGGTGGAAAGGCGCACTGATCGCTGCCTTACGCACTCACTTTGCTGCATCTTTTGTGTGAATGCAAAATATGGGAAGGGGTTGAAGCAATAGTGGATCCTTGTTGATTTTTCCCATACAGAATGACTGGCCTTAAGGCCACTACAAAATGTTTTTTTATAGGTCGTTTTGTAGTCAGGCCACCCTGTAAAAAGGTCCAGGTCCCACTTCAACTTTGGCAGACCATGGCATTTTGTAGAGAAAATACAGGGTCCCATGGATGAAGATAGAAATTAATTTCAAAACGATAATGTCCAAGGCCAGGCACTTTGTAGAGAAATTACCATGTCCCATGGAGGACTCTTTAAAATTGGAACCCCTGCATTTTGTAGTGAATCCATTGGGTTTCTGGAAAACATGTAACATGTTGTGATTTTGCTAAAGTTTTCCACGTGTAATTTAATTTTTGGAAATGCCGATAGACCCAAATATCGCCTGATTTGCCTGGTTTTTGTTTCTCTCCCTCTACATTATATATATATATCTCTCTCTCTCTCTCTTTCTCTCTCTTCTCGCTCTTTTGTGTGTGGCGAGTATATGTTTAAAACGTGTATGTTTGATTATTTCCTGTATAGCCACCCCGCATCACGCCCCTATAAAATGACAGGTCTTCTGCCAGAACGTCTACAGTATGTACTGGTGTGTTGATTTTTACCTTCTTTAAGAAGATCGCAACAATTTATAGTGAAACTATTCTCTTCCATGTCATGCCATAAAATGACAGGTCCCTTTCGAACCCCCGTGCTTCAAAAGGTCTGGCTCCAGATGGTGCATAGTGAGACGTCGTCGAAACAGCTACATGGTTAGGTGTTTTCTTATTTCCTGTGCATATAGCTGACTCCCCAAGAGAAAGTATTTGTGTGGTGTTTCTATTCCCACGGCCTCCATCATGCCCCTACAAAATGACAGGTTTCCTTCCAAGCACCTACAACATGGGTTGGCGTTGTGAATTGTTTTCTTTTTTTCTCAACGATGCAACTTAAGAATTTAGACTGTTCAAAACTGTTTGGGTTCTTGACACCCATCATGTGGTTCCTTCCAAGAAAAACACACACAGAGAGAACAACATGATAACTTGCCAATTTGTTTCTTCATGGTTTTGAGCCTTGAGACGGAAGAAATGCAGCGAACCCTTCTGGAGTTTTACTCCCTTCAATCTCTGGGTTTTTGGTGCATTTTGGGTTTACTACAAAATGGGTATAAATTGAATGCTGAGGGCCCATCAGGGCCCATGGTTTGTCTACAAATTGGGTCCTTAGATAATGGCTAAAACAACCTTTGAAAACAATCTTGATGAAACAAAGCCAGAATCAAAACCCTGTTTGAACCTCTTTTCGGTCGTCATTTTGTAGTGAAGTGGCCTATCCAGGGCCCTGATTTAGTAGAGAGAGTTTCCAGGCACTCCATTTTGTAGCCTCAGGTCCAGCACTTTGTAGAGAAAATACCGGGTCCACTACTAAATGGCTGGCTCCAACCCCACCCCACTAATTGGAAGGTGGATTCTAGTAGAATATTATAGTATATATATATATATAATTTATAAATATAATATATATATATATAATTATGACTATAATTATTTATTTAATATTATATATATAGATTATGTATATTAAATTATATATATATATATATTAAAGTATATATATATAATTATATATAATTATATATATATATTATTATTAATTATATATATAATTATATATATACATAATTATATATATATATATATTGTATATGTAATTATATATATAATTATATTCATGCATGCATGCATGCATGCATGCATGCATGCATACATCTATCCATCCATCCATCCATCCATCCATCCATACATACATACATACATATATATATATACTGTACCTATATATAATATGGACCACATATGACCATGTGGAGGGTTTGAGAGATTTCCCATTGAAAGACTCACGTCAATCTTCAAAAGCTTTTGGCCTCGGGCTTCCATGTGGATGAAACCAGCAGCCCTGGAGATTTATTGGATACCCTCTGGTAAAAAACTAGGTAACAGTTTGCGAACTGGAAAATCACCATCTTTAATGCGTAAATCCACTATTTCTATGGGCCATTTTCAATAGCAAACTGTTAAATTACCAAAGGGTATATTTATATCGATTCAACTGATATATTCAGAAACATCTTATATCGATTTACCATTATTTGTCGAAATTGGCTTCCAAAAAAACATAGAACTAGTGTTGATCAGAAAAAACGAAATCTTGATTTGTTTATTGATCAAAAAATATATCATGTTGATCAAAATATGTAAAAATCACATGGCCTCTAAATTCTCTTCGCTTGAGTCCCTGTGTTGCCGGAGCTGTGTGGCTCAAGACGTGGATTTCTGGCTCCACGGTGAGGACGGGGGGTTCTACGTCATGGTCATCCATGACGACTGGATGATTTGAAGGTCCATTTCAGGAAACCTCCATGTTCCATGTTGATCCATTTTTTGCTGAGTTTTCAATCATCACTCTCAGATAGTTCTTGGTATTCAACGGTATTCATTCATGTTGAAACGGATACTCTCACAGGCCATTTATTTGGGTGCAACAAAAAATGGGACTACTTATCGCCATCCCCATGTGGAAGTGCAACGAAATCGCTACGATCAATGATTTTTTTCAGCCAGATACTTTGTTTGCATGAATGATAGCCTCATGTTTGTAATTGTGCGGACCACATGCAAAACGTGTTTTTTTCTAATTGAGATGCTTGAATGATGGATAATTTAGGTTATTTTAGCATATTTGATTATTTATGTATTTCCTCCATTGTAATCATGAATGAAAGGTCTCTCTGAGGTTGCGGCTGCCGATTTCTAAGCCCAAGTAATCAGGGGATTCAGCACCTGGTTTCTCAGTATTGCTGCGCGTCTCTTTATCGTTGGCGGCCAATGAGCAAATTCCAAGATAATGAAGCCGCATCAGTATCATCATATGGCTCACCTCACCAATAAAGTTATTGATCCTAACAAATACAGTATATTATCTATGAATCAAAATGATAGAAAACTGTATATATATATATATACATGATTATATTATATGATTATAGATGTATTATTCCCCACCTGCCAGGTGAGGGTTGTTAGATTTTATCAGAGTTGTTCTCCTCCTCCTCCTCCTCCTCGGCTAGCTGTCCTCCTCCTCCTCCTCGTCCTCCTCCTCCTCCGTCTCCTCCTCCAGTTTCTCCTCGATCATGTCTGCATCAACTTCCACCTGCACTTCCGCCTTGCCAACTCTTCGCCAAGCTCTTTGCCAACTCTTTTCGCCAAGCTCTTTGCCAACTTCCCAGCTCAGTGTGCACCGCTGGACCTCAACCTGGGACCTTCCCAGCTCAGTGTGCACCGCTGGACCTCAACCTGGGACCTTCCCAGCTCAGTGTGCACCGCTGGACCTCAACCTGGGACCTTCCCAGCTCAGTGTGCACCGCTGGACCTCAACCTGGGACCTCCCCAGCTCAGTGTGCACCCACTGGACCTTAACTTGGGACCTTCCCAGCTCAGTGTGCACCGCTGGACCTCAACCGGGGACCTGCCCAGCTCAGTGTGCACTGCTGGACCTCAACGGGCAGATAGAATGCCCGAAGATATGCCAGGTAGAATGCCAGATAGAATGCCAGAAGATATGCCAGAAGATATGCCAGAAGATATGCCGGAAGATATGCCAGATAGAATGCCAGAAGATATGCCAGAACATATGCCAGAAGATATGCCAGATAGAATGCCAGATAGAATGCCAGAATATATGCCAGATAGAATGCCAGAAGATATGCCAGAACATATGCCAGAAGATATGCCAGATAGAATGCCAGATAGAATGCCAGAAGATATGTCAGATAGAATGCTAGAAGATATGTCAGATAGAATGGCAGAAGATATGCCAGATAGAATGCCAGAAGATATGCCAGATAGAATGCCAGAAGATTTGCCAGAAGATATGCCAGAAGATATGCCGGAAGATATGCCAGATAGAATGCCAGAAGATATGCCAGAACATATGCCAGATAGAATGCCAGATAGAATGCCAGATAGAATGCCAGAAGATATGTCAGATAGAGTGCCAGAAATTTTGCCAGAACATATGCCAGAAGATATGCCAGATAGAATGCCAGATAGAATGCCAGAAGATATGTCAGATAGAATGCCAGAAGATTTGCCAGTAAGAAAATGTATAAATGTCATGGTGGGGATCACACGAAGTAAAGTATTTTTTCATCACAGCACCTTATAACAATTGTTAAGGTGCAAAATTAACTATCCATCCCATCTATGGTACATTTGCCCAGGACCCCAGGACCGAGCCGTGGCCATGGCATGCTGACACCGCGCGTTGCGCCGCGCGTTGCGCGGGTGACTTGGCGACATTCGACGGGCCGAACCGAGTCGGGTCGAACCGGGTGTGGGTTGTTGATCCAATAAGTGAGGACAAGGCCGACCTCAAATCCATAAATGATGCTGAAAAATCATGTATGCATATGATTGCATATGTATATATATATATATATCTATCTGGTTTTTTGGTTTGGAACCATGGATTTTTATGACTTTCCATATATTGGGAATAATAATCCCAGCTGACGAACTCATATTTTTCAGAGGGGTTGAAACCACCAACCAAATATATGTGCATATGTGTATATATATATATTTATACATACTGTACATGTTTGATATGTGAAATATCTATGATATATCCAATATATCTGTCAATCTTTGAGAAATCAGCTGGATTATGGTCAGAAATGTGGATTGGTCGTGACTTATCCAGAATATTGTTGGTTTCATGTTCATGCCTAAAATTTAAATGGAGGTACCCAAATCCTCGGCTCTGAATGGTCTATTGTATTGCGTAAAGCCAAAGATTGGGGTACGCATTCCTCATTATTGGATCAACCCAATCCTGCCGGTATTCCCAGGTTTAATTGTTGGGTACGCATAGGCTTGTACATACCTTCTATCGGCCTGGGTCTATCCTGATGTTGTAATTGGGAAGACCATGTGTTGCTGCCAAAATCCGAGATGGCCACCTGGGGGCGTATACCAATTTCCAGACACACCCACATCGGAATGTTGGTGATATATATATATATATTTGTGTATAGATATGTATATATATATAGATAGATATAAATATATGTGTATATATATATAAATATATTATCACATTCTATCCCGCTGATATTCCCATCGTACCCAACCATATACGTTGGTAAATTGCACCCCCATCGCCATCGCCTTCATGTTTGTCTTTGAGGTGACTGAATGGAAGGATGCCCTGAAAGCCTGGAGCAAAGCCATCAAGGGTCACTGATTGATGGTTTCATCAAGAGATTTTTGCTGTTTCCCTGCTGAATTTTCTAGAGACTAGCAAACAAGAATTGTGATATTAACAAGCAATACTATGCAATACTTGTTCTAGTTTTCCCCCTAGCCAAAGGGTGAATATAATATAATATAATGTATACATAACAAACATATGGTTCCATGCCTGAAGATGGGATGATGATCCATAATTCACAAAGCAGGACAAGATTGGAGTTCGGCCCTGCAGCTTCTGCGATCTCTGGACAAGAAGCGCATTCAAAAGGCTGGGATGAGTTTGGATTGGCGTTGTGGGATGCCAAGCATTTGTGTAGTTTGTTTGCTTAAGACTAAGAAACAACAATTCAAAAGCCTATAGGGACAGTTTGTTGTTTGTTGTTCCTCTTCTTACCTGCTTTTCGCAGCGTGTAGAGGTGGTGATCACTTTCAGAGGCTGAGAAGTTTCAAAGCGCTATTCCACCTATGATATGTTTACCCACAAGTGGTTTGTGGTTTAAAATGCTCCAACATCATCCAACCGAGGATGATGATCCCATATGACTGTGAATATGATCTGCATATGTTAACCCTTTTCAACCAGATAGTGCAGCACCAAGAGAGCACTCAGGATGTGGTTCTTTGCAACACAGTGATCTCCTGCTGTGAGAGCGGCTCCAAGTGGCCGGAGAGTTTGCACCTACTAGCGGCACTGGAAGGCCTGCAAGGCTTCTGGGCAGATTGAGCCATTTTTTGTCCATGCCCACTTGGGGATGTAGAATGATCCTATTGAGATCTAATTTAATTCAAGTCATGCTATTGCGCTGAAATCTAGCACAAGTCCTGTACTTTACCGGCATCACATGGTGGATATAGAGCATTTATTGCCCCTAGATTATATATATATATCAACGGAAAAGCCTTCACCGGTATTTGTGCTGTCCTTTCTCACACCGCTATGGATGAACCCCACATGGATGAACCCTCGAATTTTCTCACCCCAAATTCGGAACCCAATCGGCAAGATGTTTGACTTTTGCAGAGTTTCCTTAGCAAATCCAAGCCATAGTTGTATTATGTTGTATTTGGAATGGGTTGTGCTTCACCCCACCTCTGGGTCTACCTTGGATGTGTACTTTAGATTACTTTAGTATTTAGTGCTTCAATCGTTTGTCATGCAGGTACCCAAAAAAAAACAGCAACAAAAACAGGGTATCCAAGATATTCCAAGGTCAGATGATCTCCCCATATCGTTGATATGGTTGGTTTATACCCTACTCAAAAGTCGTTGGTGAACTTTTCCACCAGCCATTTCCCCCGGGCGCTGAGCTTCGGTGGTTTCCTTCGGTGCTGTGCTGCGGAGCTTCCCCGAAGCGTCGCGGAGCTTCGGTTCGTGGTCTTCGTGGACGTGGGCCATGCGGCTGCTCGGAAATCTGCAGGAAACTGGACTTCGAGCGAATGACGCTGGTTGCAGCGGGACGGGGTCCCCAAAACAGGAGATGGTGGCTAGTTGGTGGTTTGGAACCATGGAATTTTATGACTTTCCATATATTGGGAATAGTAACCCCAACTGATTTTCATATTTTTCGGAGGGGTTGAAACCACCAACCAGAATATGTTGGAAGGAATTCTTGAAATACAGTTGACATGAATATATGACAATAGATCTTGGGGAAGAATCATAGACAGTAGACAATATATCTTGGACTATCTTATAGAGTTTTTGGTGGGAGTAACAGTTTATGGACCAACGAGAATGTTGTTGTCGAGGTTGTGAAGTTGGGCAGTTCTGTTTGTACCCCACTACCTGTACAGCCGAGTTGAAATTATTGTGTACATTAGCATTGTTCGAAAACGGTTCCTTACAGTCCCAAGCGAAGCTCTCTGTCATTTGCAGGTATATGGAGTGCGGGGTTGCAATGCGTCTATTTGTACTACATTGTAGTCTCAGTGCCAGATCGCAAGTGTTGTATGTTCATTCCTTAAGGCAATTTCAAGAAGTTCTGCTATCAGCGCATGTTGCCGCGCATGGACACATGCAACTTCGCTCTTGCGAGACTTCACTTCCTTCACTCTCAGAGTCGATGTGATCGCGTTCAACAGTGCAGCTCGGTGGCTACGGGTAACCTTGGTGCCCTGGTGATCTCTGGCGAAGCTCGTAAATGGATCATCCCCCAAGATATGGTACGACCTGGCTGCATTGCCTCCTGTCAGAATCTCATTTCATCTCAATACTGTGTAGAATAGATACTGTGGATGGAATAAATGCACCAGTTGGTACGTGGTTAGTTTATCCCATTTTGATCCCATTGTTTACACTGTCAATAGTTTTCAACTGGTGCAGGATTTCTATCCTCCCCAGCATGAAACTATTCAAAGTGAAACATCCTTCCATGATAATCTCAGGCAATTGCTGCCTGTTGTGAAGCCCAGCGCTGGCTCTTTGCCTTGGAGCTCTTTTCGGAGCTCCACCAGCAGCAGCTGCGTCGCAGCATCGTGTCCTACAGCACTGCCACCAGCGCATGCCGCTGGCTGCAAGCTTGGCAGATGATCCAAGAAAGTCGAATGGGGCGAGTGGCTGGGTGCAGATTGGATGCTGACAGATCTCACAGGATGACACAGGGGGGACACAGGTGAAACAGCTTCAACAAGAATGACTTTCAGAATGAGGAAATCATCAACAGGAATTGAAGAATGAACTTGTAGAAAAGCATATGCAGCATATGGCTTCCATCAAGAAAATAGATGATGAGAGAAACACAGTTCATAAACCTTCAAAGGGGAACATGGGCAATTCTCCCAAAATGGCGCCAATTCCCCTTCACTGGGACGAAGATGGCGCTATCAGGTTACCGTAAATGCGGTCCCCTACAATGCTGCTGCCAATGCTTGTGATGACTGGGAAAGCAGCTTGCACTTGTTCACAGACGTACAGAGGAATCGCTTGAGCACCAGCATCACCTATGGCCCCTTGGTGAAAAGATGGGGCTTCGAACAAACTCAGACCTGAGCCCAAGATTGATGTGTGTTGAGATTGTGTTTTTAATATGTTTAAAGATTAATATATATATAGACATGTATACAGTGCATTATATTGGTCTAAGCAACTACATATATGAAATGCATCCGTTTTAAGTCGCACAGAAATTGTCCATCGAAGATCATCTTCGTCCAGGATCTGGCATCACTTCTTGCGGAGCACTGGAGCAATGGCTCCGATCCTTGCAACTTTGCGTGGAGCTTCCCCAAGGATCACTGGAAGGGTTGCCTGGCACACAGCTGGCTAGGCTTCAAAAAGCTATAGAAATATCAGATAGAAAGGTAACATCCGTTTTTTACAGACTGATAAAATAGGGTTGAAGTATAAAAATCAGATAGTAAAATCCTCCAAGCCTATGAATGTGTTGTTCTTTTTTGTTGGGGGTTACTCTGGCGAGTCGCAAGCAGAGCCTGGGGGATGACTCCTCTTCAGGGATCGGGTGGTCACGGCAGGGGCAGAAGCTCACCATTGGATCCGAATGGTGGAATATACCCAAGCACAAGGTCAAAAATGCCTGAAATGTCTGTGTTTTTGTGAGGAATCTTGTGGTTCACAACGCTGTGTTGAGCGCATGTGAGACGCCTGGCTGCATGGAGATTTGTGGCATTGGCGAAGTTGAGAAGCTTTTGAGTTTCGACCCAGGACTGAAGTGGTCCGCTATGGTTAAGATGTTTTAAGATCCTAAGAATTCCTAAGATCTAAGTTAATAGTACCAGGAAAACCCAGTGTTTCGCTCAAAATTAACAGCTACCAATTCTCCTGTTCCCTTCGACCCTCGGGCTTCGTTTCTCTGTCCCCTTTTCCAAAATGGGAGGTCCCGACTTTCGGCCTGGGACACTCCCAGACTTGGATTGATCGGAAAGCAGGAAATCTTGATCTTTAGGGCAATTTACACCAATATGCACCAATGCTTTCCTGATCTTTCCTGTAGATCGTCCTTCAAATCAATTCGAATTGAGACAAACAGTACCTGGTTGGTGGTTTCAAACATTTTTTATGTTCCACAATATATGGGATAATCCTTCCCATTGACTTTCATATTTTTCAAGATGGTTAAAACCACCAACCAGGTACATACATGTCTCAGGAAGGGGGCACAATGGCAACGTGTTCTGGAAATCTCCGCAGACGAAGTCGATCTCATCTCCTACAATTCGGCCATCAGCTCATGTCAGTGCCTGGGCCAAGAGATTCAATGGTTGGTGGCCGCGTTAAACAAGGGGGGCCTGAGAACCCAAAAGCAAAACGACAGCAAACAAATTCGAGTAATAATTGGTTTATTTCCCTTTCGCCTCTTGCCAGCACCTTTTTGGAAGATGAATATTATGGGCGCATTCACTGCAAAATTCATTTTTTCAGCTCTACAGAGACTTTTACACACAGAGGACGTTTTACACAGAAGCAAGGTTTTGTTTTGTGCAAACGACTTCTCTGTGTCAAAGCCTCTGAGTCCAGCATGCTGTCTCGCTCCCTCCCAGCGAAGCTCTCCCCAAGCTATTTCCACGGTTTCCCCTCCGTCCAGCATGCTGTCTCGCTCCCTCCCGGCGAAGCTGTCCGCAAGCTATTTGCACCTCCCCTTCCTTCCTCCCTCCCTTTCTTCCTCCCTTCCTTCCTTCTCTTCCCCTTCCTCCCTTCCTTCCTTCCTCCCTTCCTTCCTTCCTTCCTCCCTTCCTTCCTTCCTCCCTTCCTTCTCTTCCTCTTCCTCCCTTCCTTCCTTCCTTCTTCCTTCCTTCCTTCTTTCCTTCCTTCCCATCTCCGTCCAACACTACGTATCGCTCCCCCGCAGCAAACGAGAAACTAAACGAGAACCCAAGCATCGGAGATACTTTTGGGAAAAAACGGGTATCGTATCCTACAAAATTGCCAAGCCACTGCCGCATCTATACATCTGGTTATTTAACATAGCCATGGTTTCCATGGCCATAGAAATAGTGAGGGCCCCATTAAAAATAATGTTTTTCCATAATTTTTTTCCATGGTCAGGTTGGTTGGTCCTCACCTTTTTTCTTCTGAAGCCGGACCCGCCGAATCTTCGTTCTGAGCACGGTCATGCGACGGCGGCTGATTTCCAAATCAACCTCTCCTTTCCTTTCCCTTCCTTCCCTTCCTTTCCCGTCCTTTCCCTTCCTTTCCCTTCCTTTTCCGTCCTTTCCCTTCCTTTGCCCTGAGTCTGCTTTTTTAGTAAATTTAGTAGTCGATGAATTTACGTAAATTTTTGGATTTACTAGCTAAAATTTACTCAAAATTTTAGTTTAAAAGTAAAGTAAATTAATTTAGTTTCCAAAGTAAATTAATTTAGTTTCCAAAGTAAATTTATTTAGTTTGGAAAGTAAATGGATTTAGTTTGTAAAGTAAATTTTTGACCACCCAAAAAAGACAATAAATTTTGATGTTTTTTTAATTCTATTTCATGGTTACTTGTGACTTGTGGACATGTGACCATGAAATTTTCATGAATGATATGTGTTTCATGTGGTGCATGTGTTACATTCTTTGCATGTAGATGGATGCAGTTGGCCACTTACTTGAGGCACTGTTTGCCACAGTTTTTGTTGTAGTTATTTGGGGTGCTCAAGATTTTCTCTGTCTCTTCATCAGCAATCCCTGTGTGGATCCTGGACCTCCTCCTAAGAAATATGAAGGGGAATCATGGAGCTGTGGACTGGGGAGAAGAGTAACTGCCACTTTTTATGGCCTTTGCTACAAAGACAGTCAGCCCAGGGAGTTTCAGTTTTCTTGTCTGTGATTGGTTCACTGCATGTTTGTAGTTGACACATGTGATATATCTGATATATTTATATATGAATATAAATAAATAAATAATGTATATATATATATATATGTATAGATCAATAAGTTATCATTCACCAAATGCTACCCACAGGTTGCTCATTGAGTTTCTGAGTGCCTTCTGCTGCACAACCCTGAGAAGAGGATGTACATGATGGTGTATCCATCCAGATCTTGGCACTCACAGAAGGCTGAGAAGTAAATTTTGAGAACTGTGATCAGCTGGGGGTCAAAAACATGTTCAACTTGTGATGATTTGTGCCAACAGGAGGTCCATTTACCAAACATTTTTGGCAAGTTACTTGAGGTCCTCATGTAAAAACTTACTTGTGTGAATGTTTGAAGGTACTTTGAGAACCAACTTTGGGCAGTACTTGAGAACATGTGAAACCTTTACCACATGAACCAAGTATATCAATGTTTGGAATTTGAATCAATTATATCAAGTATGTCTTGTGAATATGCACTTGAGACTGTTGAAGCATGAGAGTTACATGTGACACATGTTTGAGTTTTGATCACATTTATCTATACTGTTGTTTTCAAAACCATCTCAAGGATTGTTTTGGATAGTTTTGCACTCGTGACCCAGCATGGCTAGCCTGGAAGCTGCTTTTGATGAGAGGAAGGTTCAGCTGAGTGCTGAGAATTCCAGGAGGCAGCAAGCGAAGTTTAGGCTGGTTTCTGACCCCTACATCTCTGTGCAAGCCATCCAAGATGTCTTGGAAGGATATGTCAAGCACAGAAAGTGCAACGACTTGGCTATGTTGTTGGCACCTCCCCCTGCCATACAGAATCCAAGTTGGCAATCTCCACCTTCCCCAGACTGGATGGCCAAATGCCTTGGCCTTGTCTTCGATGTGCTGTCCATTGCACCCAATACAAAGTTGGCCCACACCAAGGTGAGACGTGCGATAGTGAACATGTGGGTGGCTAGAACCATTCAGCTTGATCCCAAACTTGGCAAGCCTGATGACCAGTTCGACAACATGGACCTCAACTTGAGGATGGTCATGAACCGGTTTCGAGAGGTGAAGGTGAAAGCAGATCTCAAGCAAAAGGTCCTACGAGTTTTGTCAGCAGAGGATGGCATCAAAGTCCAAATGGTTTTGGATAAGATCATTCTTCCCAAGGAGTGCTACAAGTATGAGGTCATGGAGGATGACTCCCAAGAAGCGCCTGGGTACAATCGACCTGAGGAGTGTTTGGCCATAGTCCCATTTGAGGAGGCAAAGGCTGCAGCACCATCATACCCATTGGATATGAAGGATGTCCCAGGGCCCAAGCCAGCCTTGAAGCGATCTTATGCTTTTTCCGAGGAATCTTTGGCAAAGCTGGGTCCTACCCCTGAGATCTTTGGGAAGATCTTGGCAAGGGAACCTGGCAACCCAGATGTTGCACCCAAGAGATCTCAGGCTACTGGAGCATCCAGTACAGATGATGCTTTGCTCTCTGCTGCTGCGAGTTTTGTGCCTACCCAGCTGGCTGGAAAGGCCAAAGCAAAGGCCAAGGGTGCAGCTAAAACTGTCCCAAAAGGCACTGCCAAGAAAGGCAAAAAGAACAAGAAGATTAAAGGCAAGACCACAGCTGCTGCCAAGAGCAAAGCTGGCAAGGCTAAATCCATTGCCAAACCCAGCCAGCCAAATGATCCAGCTTCAGCTGGGACTGAAGAGATCGAGTTGGACATTCCGAAGTATGTGGTCGAAGTCCATCCCACTAAGGCAGACACATACAAGAACTTGTATGTCAGTCGCCATTACAACAAGGCCAAGGAGCTTGCCATCAAGCATGGGGCCAGCTCAGAGCAGGCCAAGGCCAGGGGTCGAGTGGCCAGTGCTGAGGCCAGGAAGCTTTGGGATGATTATCATCCAAACTGAAGGCTCATTGTAGAATCATTCTTTCAACATCTAGGGGTAGTGATGGATGTTGATCAAAGCCGAGCACATGCTGATGTGTCAAAAATCCAGTTCTCACTTTTGTTTTTACTTGTGCATGTTGAATCATATGTGTTTCATCAACAATACAGTTTTTACTTTTGTTTTTACTTGTGCATGTTGAATCATTACCTGAGGTGTCAACAATCCAGTTTTCACTCTGTTTTTACTTGTGCATGTTGAATCCTTACCTGAGCTGCCAACAATCCAGTTCTCAGTTTTGTTTTTACTTGTGCATGTTGAATCATTACCTGAGGTGTCAACAATCCAGTTCTCACTTTTGTTTTTACTTGTGCATGTTGAATCATATGTGTTTCATCAACAATACAGTTTTCACTTTTGTTTTTACTTGTGCATGTTGAATCATTACCTGAGGTGTCAACAATCCAGTTTTCACTTTTGTTTTTACTTGTGCATGTTGAATCATTACCTGAGGTGTCAACAATCCAGTTTTCACTTTTGTTTTTACTTGTGCATGTTGAATCATTACCTGAGGTGGGGTTTGAGCTTTACTTGTGTGACCCCATGCCCTCTAGAGCTGGTTACCTCTTGGTTACTTGTGGCCTGTGGAATCCAAAAGGAGCTGTGACCTGTGCATTTAAGATTTTAAGGTGTCTGACATGTGTGCATTTGTTTTTGCATGTAGTTTGAATGTCACTTGTGGTCAACACTTCTAGGACCCACTGTCCATGACATCCTGGTCACAGAGTTTTTTACTGCTAGCTGTATTCGACAGCTCGATTTGAAGGTGAACACATGGTTACATGGTTGGCAAGATGGTTCATCAACAAAAACTCATAGCATCCAAGATGCATTGATATGAAAACATTTTACAGTACAGTCATGTTTAGTTTTGAAAGATCATCTCCATGGAAAGTATATTTGACATATCAACTTTCTCACCTTAGGTTCTCGCAGCCCCTGCCAATGGATCGCTTGTTTCCATACACTGGAAGGAGGATCTATTTGAGGAATGTCAGATATGGTGTGACAAAGGATTGCTTGAGGGCATTGATACTTCGTCTTGGAGTTGTCTCCTGCAGTGGCATTCAGCTGGTGAGGAAGGACACATGGTGGATCCCTGAACATTGCAGTGCATACCTGTACATCGAAGATGTTTCTGGGCTTTCTTCAGGATTTATTTTTGGAGGGAATGGCTTACTAAGCATGTTTTACTTGTTCTGGTGCACTCACTGTCTAAGGCTGCAGATTTCAACTTCATTTTGGGAGCACTGGATGGCTTATTCGATCCACAGGTCTGCAGTGGGAGACTGGGGTTAGTTTAGCATGTTTTCATGTGGTTCTTTTTGTGTCTTTTTCAGCTGAATCTCTCATTTGAAAACCAAGTCTCAAGTAATTTCACAAGTAACACTCAGAATTGATGGGGACAAGTAATACTCACAAGTAAGATGCATCAGTAAATTTAGTTCAATCTCTTGTCCACATATTGCTTGTTTCACCATGCCCAGGAGAAGGGCTCTTCAAGCAGAACCTGCTCGACCTCCTCGGCCTTTGACCAATGATGGTGAGGCTTGGTTTCCTGACACAGGATCATCAACAGCTTCTGCAGCAGCTGTGCCAGCACCTGGAGTTCCAGAGCCTTTGCTTCCACCTCGAACCCGAAGACCTGCAAATAATGTCACTGAACCACCTCCAGCTCCTGTGCCAGCAAGTCCATCAAGGCCACCAGGGCCACCAGGGCCACCTACAGCTCTGCCACCAGGGCCACCAGGGCCACCAGGGCCACCAGGGCCACCTACAGGTGCCAGATCCAAAGCTGCTCATGGACCTCCTGCTACATTGCTGACCGCTCAGGCAAGTGATCCCTCAGCTTTGTCCAATGCTCTGCACAGTTGGCAGCTTCATGGCACACCACTAGACAGTCAGAGGACTTTTAGCAGTGAAGGTGAACTCACTGTCGCCTTGCTTCAGGCTGTTGCTGAACATGCAGCTTTAGCATCAACTGCAAGTTCTTCAACAAAGGAAAACGAAGTACCTTGACTATATCTTGAAAAACAATATGCATGCATTCATATGTTTATGTATATATATATGAACAATTACATTGTCAGATACATGTCATCACAAGTAAAAACATGTTCACAAGTAGAAGCACCTGGTTTACAATGTCAAACCTTTCTCAAGTAAGATTCAAAGGCATTTTTCATGATCATCTCAATATGTTTCATTTGAAATCAAATTTACTTGAGGTTGGTTACTTGAGATTTACATGTGACCCCCAGGTTGCAATGCCAACCACAGCTCCTGAAGCCTCTCTGAAGAAGAATGTGGAGGACAAGGAGGAGGGCCAGGAGACTGCAGATGACAAGACAGAGGATACATCAGAAGATGATCGGCTGCTTCAGCAAAAGCTCTCTGAGAATTTCGAGGTCCAGGATCCCTACATGATTATGGATGGGGATGAGGACCAGCCGATGATGGAAGATGTGAAAGAAGAGAGACAAGACGAAGGAGAAGAGGAGGAGGAAGAAGCTCAGGAGCCAGATTTCACTCTGGAGGAATACTTGGAAGGTTCCAAGGAGGAGGCAGATCTAGACCAGGCAGATCAGACACAGAATGCAGACATGGAAGCAGCTCAGGAGGCAGACAATGTTCTCCTCAAGGAGGAGGAAGACTTGGATCATGAGCCAGATGATCCACCGAGAATTTCAATAGGAGGAGGGTCGAGAAGATCTCCAAGAAGCAGGAGCAGGAAGAGAAGGAGAAGAAGATCCAAGACTCCAAGCCCAACCCCATCTCCAGACTTTACAGAGTTTCCAGGATATCACTTCATTTTTTTTTTGGTGGTTAATGTTAGAATTGCAATGACAACATCTGTTAGTGAGTGTTTTCCTGTTCATCATTGTAGTGTTGTACCTGCTCTATCTAAGCCATTCAGGTTGATGAAGTGGGCTTACCTCAAGGAGAAGGACAGCAAGCGACGTCGACATGGATCCAGATGAGGTGCTATTGTTTCACCTTTGGAATCAATAGAAGTCTGAAATTGCAGTCAAAGCTTTGTTGGATGATGGAAAAAGGTGAATTGGTTCAAGCATCACTTTAAGTGCACTAGAGCTTTTACTTGTGGCATTACATGAGACTAGTGCTGATGATACTTGGGAAAATGATGACATGAAGTCAACTTACATGCATCAAATTCTGATCTCCAATCAATCATTTGGTCTTCAAATCTTTATATTTTTTAATGAAAAAATATAAAAATTCAACAAAAAACATGATGCAGTTTTGATGCAGTTTTGAAACTGCATCAAAACTGCATCACTTTCCATATAAAACTGCATCAAAACTGCATCATTTTGATGCAGTTTCAAAACTGCATCAAAACTGCATCAGCAATTCATCAGAAATTCAGGAAACAATCTTCAGAATTTGACATAATGTTCAGTGATTTTCTTCCAGAGTTTGAGAAACATGTCATGATGATGCATTCAGCACAGCCTCTGACAGTGATTACTTGATATTTGTTTGTGAACAGTTACTATTTGCCACATGTAACACATGTCTGTGACATGGACCTCATGTAATCTCATTATCCTCATGATGTGCATCCTTTGTCACATTCACTCTTTTGCTTGATCAACATCCTAGCTGTGTCAGTAAACTTTACCTGATACAACCTGTTCAGTTCATGTTGTCATGACTAATGTAATGAATCCAACATACTTCTTGAATTACTTGAGGTCAAAATACTTGAGTTACTTGAGAGGTGCTTGTGGTTTCAATTTGAACTGTTCAATTTGTTTTCAATTGTGAAACATGAGGATTGGCTCAGACAAATCACTTGTGCCTCAGTTAAGAGTAGCTGTTCACTGTGGCAGCTGAGATGGCACCTGATGCTGTTGAGACTCATGAGGAAGCCAAGCCCTCTGCAGGAGGCCGGGCTGCTCCCTCTACTCCCATCGAGGGTTTTGAACAGAAGAGTCCTAGTAAAGGGCCTACTCTGAAGAGGCCAGCTGCAGCTTCACCTGGCAAAACCCCGATGAAGGCAGCCTTGGCCAAGAACAAGGCAAAGGCAAAGGCAAAGGCTAAGGCAACTGCCAAGGCCAAGGCTTCCAGTGCTAAGTGTAAGGCCAAGGCCAAGCCTAAGGCCAAGAGCTCAGCAGCAATGAAGCGCCCTGCTGCCAAGGAGGAGGAGAGTCAGCAAGGGAAGAAGGGTTCTTGGGCTGCTCCCTTGGTCCAGGTGGAACCGGAGAAGGAAGAGCAAGAAGGAGAAGAGGAGGAACATGTCACTCAGGATGAGGCAGTGGAGCCTTCCAGTGCTTTTGCACTTCCTGACAAGGGAGACTTGGATGATGATGAGAACACGAAGAACAGGTCGAAAAATGCAAAGTTTTTGAAAATGTTGAAGGACTCAAGTTTGCCAGACTGGTTGGTCCAGGAATGGGAGAAAGCCAGCAAGCTGACCTCAGGAAAGAGAGAGAAACAGCGAGAGATAGTGAATAACTGTCTCGATCATCAAGGTGGTCGCCTTGTCCTCAATGTCGACAAGCCCATGTTCCAGCAGATGTCTGCCTCCTACAAGCAGACTTTGACACGAGATAAAGAGAAGTCCCTCCCTCGCCGACTTTTGCAGGGGAAGTTCAACTTGACAGATGAAGCCTTTGAAGAAGCACTGCAGGAAGGTGATGTGGTGGAGGTGAAGATGAAAGGTGGAAAGACAGGGTACATGTTCCAGAGCATGGAGCATGAAACTGAGCGAGGCAAGCGCGCAGAGTCATCTGTGGTGGAGCAGGTTGAAGGCAACAAGAAGAAGAAGCTCTTCTTTGAGGAGGGTGTCAAGAACTGGGCCATTGGACTGTTTGAGAAGTCCAAGGACAAGGCCATTGGAGAGAAGAGGCCAGGCCTGCTGGCCTTGAAAGATCGTCAGGCCCCTTTGAGTGAGGCTCAGTGGCAGCAGGCCCCGTCCCAACTAAAGCCAGCCCAAGATGCATTTGAGAAATGCAACAGTGCTGGCTTGAAGTTCTTGCAGACCATTGGCCCCGACAACAAGCTGGATCCCTTGTACCCGACCTTGTTCCTTGGCTGCATTTTCATTTCACCAAAGAATATATTCCCATTACTTGTGTTTACCTGTGGTACTTGTGATTCATGAAAGAACTTGCCTGTCATGATATGATATACTGGTGAAACCTTGAGTTTATGAACAAGAATAGATCCATATGTGTTTCATGGATTCAGATCCCCAAAGTAGGACCAATCAAGATTTCTTTACTTGTGATTACTTGTGACTTCTAAACTGATGCTGTACCTCAGGTAATGCAAGGACTCATATGCATACTGTGACATCTCCCTACCAACCCCTGCCATCTATCTCAAGTTCCTCAGGAAGCAGCTGGTAAATGATGCCCAAGCCATGAAGGGAAAGCTTGCACATGTCTGGCATTGGAAGGAACTTCCCACTGGCCAGGATATCACAGTCGAGGAGTACGACAATTTGATGGCAGAGGCTGGTACTTTGGCTGGTCGATTGGATGAAAGCCTTGCAGGCATCAGAGGGCAGCTCAATGCCAGAAATCAAAGGGCCAAGGCTGCCAAGTGATTTGGCATCACCTTTTTGGAGATGACAATGTTGCTCGATGTAACAGTTTTGTCGTTTTTTTAGCACAATCTTCAGTTGGAGACTGCTTGGCCAAAAATGAGTTCAGGTGTGAAATTCAACTTTACATGTGAAAATTTACTGGCAATGAAACCATTACAATCTAGCACACTGATAGTTTCTTACATTGCTCTTATATATTTTTTTCAGTCACCTTACATGTGGTACACAGTTGGCCTGAGTGCAAAAAATACTTGCATGTTTATTGAAACAACAATTAATTTGAAAGAATCAGACTTGAGGAAGAGAAGACACAGCATGCTCAGGTAAAAATAAAGTCGAATCACTTGTGGTCTTCAGAAAAGTTCATTACATGTGACCAAACATGTTTTTCTTGCAGGAACACTGTGCTACAAAAAATGCATTTGACCAATAGCCAGTTTTCATTTTGGATCACATGAGGTAATCTTTTGGGTTCCAGTGACACTTGTGCATCAACCTTTGATCCTAAGAGGCCAGCCATGGACCAATTGGAGCTGACAGCTGCCAACTACGTGGACTCTGATGAGGAAAAGGACATGCTCAAGGAGCAAAAAATCAAAGATGCCATCGAGGCTAACTCAGGCTTCACTGTCTGCATCTTGAAGATCAAGTTCCTCATTGATGAGGTTGGGTTGTTCCTTGGTGAGTCTTGCGTCCAACTTGCTTGCCTGAGTGCCACTATTGAAGCTTGTGGCCATGACTAAAGGCTTTAGAACAGTGACAGCATGGTGCCTCCTGGAAAAAAATTCAGCTGCATGGGTTGGGTGCATCTACTTGTGCTACATGAGGTTTTACTTGTGTTACATGAGGTTTCACAAACATGTTCAGGGACAAACATCTTTTGAAAACATAAACTGGTTGACAAAAACTGGAAAACAAGAACCAAGTGTGAAGCACTAGCTCTTAGGTACATGGATACTTTTGACACATATAACTTGGGAAATAAACAATACCACTTCTCCCCAAGTAATGACAAGCATGGGAATATATGTATAGAAGAGAATCCATCCTCAAGTGCTAACAATATACATGCAGGAAAATTAAACAACAATATGTGTCCTCAGGTAATCAAATTTGAAGCTCCAGTATTTGGTTGCTGCATTGCTGTTGCCTCATTTGTAACCATCGAATCTAATTGATCAGAAATGTCCTTCAACAAAGACATGCTTAGAGTACCTCAAGTATAAGAAAGATGTTGCAGCAAATCATGAACTGTTGATTTCTTATCGACACCAGGTTTGTTTCAAGCTCACCTTCAAATCAAGAAGTTGTTGTGTTTACACTTTCACTCTCTGCATCTTGCAGAGTCATTTGATTGAACACATGGAGCCTCCAACTTCGAGTAAAAAGAGAAGGAAAGGAGGCATTCACCAAAGGCAGCACAAAGCTGAGGAGGAGATGCAATGTGAAAGCGCTCTCTATGCACTTCTCATGATTTATTTTGCCAAAGGCTTGATGTCTGGGGCTTTGGTGCATAAAATATCACAAGCTGCCCAAGAAGACATCGACAAAGCAGCCAAAGGTTGGAATGTCCAGGGTCTCAACAAAGTGGCATCCCTGAAGCATGCCAGAAATTTGGGAGCCTCTTTGGCAAGAATGATGGCCAAAGAATCTGATTTACCTGAGCCTTTCCATGTTCACATACCTTTGAAAAAGGTGCCATCGAAGAAACAGCATCGGCTTCACTCCTGTTACCCCACGAGCTATTTGCATCCTTTTATGACAAAGGATCAGCCTGGGCCAAATGTATCCTGCCAGATCAATCCTTGCTCAGGAAATTTTGGGATAGTTTCCAGGGACATCCTTGCATGGAAAACCATCCTTGCCAAGCCAGCACCAACTGGAAGGACACCTGCATCCCTTTGGGGATGCATGGGGACGAGGTCCCTTGTTTGGGAACTGGGAAGGTTTGGTCCAAGGCAGTATTAGTATTCAGCTGGTTCTCAATCATGAGCAATGCAGCAGGATCGTCATTTTTGGATACAAACATCTACATCTGGGGCCTTTTTGAAAAATTCATCATTGAAGGTGAAACAATGGAGACCTTTTGGTCCATTCTTGTTTGGTCTTTTTCAGCTATGGCCAAAGGCAGATGGCCCAGAACAGATCACAGAGGAATGGCTTTTGAGCCAGGTTCCAAGGGCGCTAGAATGGCCAACAAATTTTTAGCTGGGGGTTTCAAAGGCATCCTGCTGCAAATGGCTGGAGATTTAGATTACATGACCAAACATTTACAAACACCGCGGTCCACAAATCATGAGAAGCCTTGCGTGCTTTGCAGGTGCAAGCAATTTGGTCCATGCAGCTGGCTGGACAACAGACCCAACAGCTTGTGGCAACGATCCACTGTCAAGGCTTCAAATTACAGGACTCACTGGGATCCTCAGGGGCCCTTGTACACATTGCCAGGCCTGTCAAACATGTCACTGGCAATGGATTACATGCATTGCATGCACTTGGGATGGCTTCAATATTTTTATGGGTCAGTGCTGTATGTTCTAGCTTTTTCCTTGTTACCTGAGGAACCTACTGCCAATTTGTTGGCCCTTGGACACATGATCAAGGAACATCAGAAAAGGCATGATGCCAAACATCGATATCGAATGAGATTGGACAAAGTCACCATGATCAAACCAAAAAAAGGTTTTCCCAAGCTTCGTGGTCGAGCAGCAGACATTTCTGGAATGGCACACTGCTTGTATGATCTGTGGCTGCAATTCATGGATGGTGGCAACCAGCAGCACCAACAGATTCGACTTTTTTTGAAATTGAATTGGGAATTGAAGGATTTGCTGGACACTTTCAGCCCCACCTATGGCTACTTTGCCATACCATCCACTGAACACCAACAAGTCATGAACAAAGGATTGGCCATGGCACAGCTGCACAACCAGCTCTCCACACATTTTGTGGATCACGAAGACCAGCTGTTCAACTTGACTACCAAGACTCACTTTGCTTTGCATTCATTGCAACTTAGTTGTTTCATTCACCCCTTTCTGGTCCATTGTTACAAGGGTGAATCAACCATGCACAGAATCCAAATTCTGTGGCGATCCTGTTTACACGGTTCCAAGCATTGGCAGGCAGGCAAGAAAGCTGCCTGGAAAGAGCGCCACTTGCTTTGGTTGCAGGGCAAGGTTTGAAGAAAACAGGATCCCTCTACTTCACTATGCTGTGTTACTTGAGGTCACAGGTAGCACATGTAATCCCTTCCACACACTTACACACATCTACTCACAAGGTAAGATGCTGATGTACTTGAGAATGATATGTTTTCAAAATATACTTGGGTGACTTGTTACTTGTGTTTAGCTCAGGTAATGAACTTGCCAAGCATTACTTGTGTTACTTGTCACCTGAAACACCTCACAGGGATTACTTGTGTTACTTGTGACCACATGGTCTCACAAGTAACAATTATTATTTGAAGTATGCCTGTAGTCACACATGACAAATGTTTGAATTATTTGGTTTCAGAACTTGTGAAAATCATTGATTCTTTTTTTACCCATATGACCAAATCTCCATTCACAGTGTGAGAACACTTCCATTGAAAGTCTTGAAAGAAATGCTGCCCACAAAGAATTCATTTTTGTCTGTCATAAAATGGTTGTAGTTAAGTATTAAAAAACAAAAAACGACAAAAAAGCAAAAAAAGGTATGATGCAGTTTTGGCGCAGTTTTGATGCTGTTTCATAATTTCAGTCCAATTTAGTTTAGTTGGAAAAACGTGTCAAAACTAAACTAAATTTATCAACTAAAGTAAATTCGCAGAAAAACTAAATTTACTAAAAAAGCAGACTCAGGGTGCCTTTCTTTCCCTTTCTTTCCCTTCCTTTCCCTTTCTTTCCGTTCCTTTCCCGTCCTTTCCATTCCTTTCCCTTCCTTTCCCTTCCTGTCCCTTCCGTTCCCTTCCTTTCCCTTTCTTTCCCGAATGCGTAGCAAGGGTTCCCGTTGCCCAACCGTCCGCAACCACTCGCAACCGTCCGCGCGATTGCTATATGGCCGTGCCTCTGGTAAGTTCTCCAGAAGGGGTAATTTGTGCGTTTCGCGTGGCAGGCGTGGCACTTCGTGACATTCAGACGTGTTTTGTAACGTGTCGAAAGTCATTTTATGTGGCATGCGCAATACTTTTGCGACGTTTTCAGAAAATGCGTTGCAGTTTTCGTGGCAGGCGCAGCACTTTGGACGTGTCCATCGTCATTTTGCGTGGCAGGCGCAGCACTTTAGACGCGTCGTGTTGCGTGTTTTTACGAATCGCATTGGCAGGGCCGCGTCAAGTGGAGACAAGGTGCAAATTCCGTGGCAGACGTGGCATTTTGTGAGATGTGCTGAAAATTGACGGAAGCCTTCCACGAAACATCGATTTTGAGGTAGCAAATTTAAAGGCTCGTACGAAAACTCGTAGGAAAACGTCGGTTTTGAAGCTACAAAGTATGAAAATTGGAGGAAGTCTCGCACGAAAGGCTCGTTTTGATGCTCCCACATCTCTCGTCTCAAGTCTCTGGTTTTCCTGCGGCGTCGCCGTGTCTATGGGGGAAGCTGCAAAATCTCTCCTTTTCGAAGGTTTCCAAGCAGGTTGTCATGTCGTTTTGCGTGGCAGGGGTGGCACTTTACACTCTACACTCCGCACTCTACACTCCACACTGCACACTCTACACTCCACCACACTCTACACTTTGCACACTCCTCACTCCACACTTTACACTCTACACGCCACACTCCACACTCGACACTTTCCACTCCACACTCTACACTCCACACTCCTCACTCCACAATTTACACTTTACACTCCTCACTCCACACTCTACACTTTACACTTTGCACTTTCCACTCCCCCTTCACACTCTACACTTGCATTCTACACTCCACAATTTACACTTTGGACGCCACACTTTAAACTTTGCACTCCACACTTTACACTCCTACACACTCCACACTCTACACCCCACACTCCACCACACTCCACACTCTACACCCCACACTCCACCACACTCCACACTTTACACTCCACACTCCACAAACTACACTTTCCACTCCACACTCCACACTCCACACTTTACACTCCACACTCCTCACTCCACAATTTACACTTTACACTCCTCACTCCACACTCTACACTTTGCACTTTGCACTCCTCACTCCACACTTTACACTCCACACTTTACCCTCCACACTCCGCACTCTACACTTTACGCTGTACACTTTACACTCTACACTCCACACTTTACATTTTTGACTCCTCACTCCACACTTTACATTTTTACATTTTACACTCCTCACTCCACACCTTACACTCCACACTCCACACTCTACACTTTCCACTCCACACTTCACACTCTGCACTTTCCACTCCACACTTCACACTTTACACTCCATACTCTACACTTTACATTTTTCACTCCACACTTTACATTTTACACTCCTCACTCCACGCTTTACACTCCACACTCCACACTTCCCACTTTACACTCCACACTCTACACTTTACACTCAACACTTTACACTCCACACTCCTCACTTTACACTCCACACTCCACACTCGACAGTTTCCACTCCACACTCTACACTCTACACTTTACACTCCACACTCCTCACTCCTCACTCCACACTATATACTTTACACTCCACACTTTACAGTTTGCACTTTACACTCCTCACTTCACACTTTACACTCCACACTCTACACTTTACACTCTACACTTTACACTCTACACTCCACACTCCACACTTTACACTCCACGCTTTCCTCTCCACGCTTCACACTCCACACTTTACACTCCACACTTTTACGCTCCACACTCCACAGTCTACACTTTACACTCCACACTCTACACTCCACACTCCACACTTTACCCACTGCACACTCCACACTCTACACTCCACACTCCTCACTCCACACTTTACACTCCACACTTCCCACTTTACACTCCACACTCTACACTTTACACTCCAGACTTTACACTCCACACTCCGCACTCTACACTTACACTCTACACTCCACACTCTACACTGTCCACTCCACACTGCAGACTGGTAACAGGGCAAGTGTTCAAATAAACTATTGCAGAAAATTGTTCTGAGTGACTGCATATCCATTAACATACGTGTGAGCATTCGGGTTCGTGGGCTGCATCTTAGCCGTCCGCGCAATTCTCCGCACCCATTTGCCGTCCGCCTTCTTCTCCCCACCCATTTCCAGCCACTCCCTCGCACCCTCGCCGTCCGCAACCGTCCGCGCAATTCTCCCCACCCATTTGCCGTCCGGAGCCGTCCGCGCAGCCAAGCTCGCTCATCACCAGCGGCTTCTTCCCCCGACCCATTTCCAGCCAATCCGTTGCACCCAGCCGTCCGCGCAATTCTCCGCACCCATTTCCCGTCCGCAGCCGTCCTCGCTCATCACCAGCGCGATCCCCACCCATTTCCAGCCACTCCCTTGCACCCACGCCGTCCGCAGCCGTCCACGCAATTCTCCGCACCCATTTCCCGTCCGCAGCCTTCCGCGCAGCCAAGCTCGCTGATCTCCAGCGGCTTCTTCTCCCAACCCATTTCCAGCTACTCCTTGGCACCCACGCCGTCCGCAGCCGTCCACGCTATTCTCCCCACCCATTTGCCGTCCGCAGCCGTCCGCGCAGCCAAGCTCGCTCATCACCAGCGGCTTCTTCTCCCCACCCATTTCCAGCCACGCCGTTGCACCCACGCGTCCGCAGCCGTCCGCGCAGCTCTCCGCACCCATTTCCCGTCCGCAGCCGTCCGCGCAGCCAAGCTCGCTCATCACCAGCGGCTTCTTCTCCCCACCCATTTCCAGCCACTCCCTGGCACCCACGCCGTCCGCAGCCGTCCGCGCAGTTCTCCGCAGCCATTTCCCGTCCGCAGCCGTCCGCGCAGCCAAGCTTGCTCATCACCAGCGGCTTCTCCCCTTCCAGCCACTCCGTTGCACCCACGCCGTCCGCAGCCGTCCGCGCAATTCTCCGAACCCATTTCCCCTCCGCAGCCGTCCGCGCAGCCAAGCTCGCTCAATCTCGCTCATCCCCAGTGGCTTCTTCTCCCCACCCATTTCCCACACCGTCCGCAGCCGTCCGCGCAGTTCTCCGCACCCATTTCCCGTCCGCAGCCGTCCGCGCAGCCAAGCTTGCTCATCACCAGCGGCTTCTCCCCACCCATTTCCAGCCACTCCGTTGCACCCACGCCGTCCGCAGCCGTCCGCGCAATTCTCCGAACCCATTTCCCGTCCGCAGCCGTCCGCGCAGCCAAGCTCGCTCAATCTCGCTCATCCCCAGCGGCTTCTTCTCCCGACCCATTCCCAGCCACTCCCTTGCACCCACGCCGTCCGCAGCCGTCCGCGCAATTCTCCCCATCCATTTGCCGTCCACAGCCGTCGCGCAGCCAAGCTCGCTCATCCCCAGCGGCTTCTTCTCACGAACCATTTCCAGCCACTCCCTTGCACCCACGCCGTCCGCAGCTGTCAGCGCAATTCTCCACACCCATTTGCCGTCCGCAGCCGTTCGCGCAATTCTCCGCACCCATTTTCGTCCGCAGCCGTTCGTGCAGCCAAGCTCGCTCATCACCAGCGCCTTCTTCTCCCCACCCATTTCCAGCCACTTCCTTGCACCCACGCCGTCCGCAGCCGTCCGCGCAATTCTCCGCACCCATTTCCCGTCCGCAGCCGTCCGCGCAGCCAAGCTCGCTCATCACCAGCGGCTTCTTCTCCCCACCCATTTCCAGCCACTCCCTTGCACCCACGCCGTCCGCAGCCGTCCGCGCAGCCAAGCTCGCTCATCACCAGCCAGCCACTCCGTTGCACCCACGCTGTCCGCAGCCGTCCGCGCAGTTGTCCGCACCCATTTCCCATCCGCAGCCGTCCGCGCAGCCAAGCTCGCTCATCACCAGCGGCTTCTTCTCCCAACCCATTTCCAGCCACTCCGGTGCACCCACGCCGTCCGCCACCGTCCGCCCAGTTCTCCGCACCCATTGCCGTCCGCGCAGCCAAGCTCGCTGATCTCCAGCGGCTTGTATACTCCCCGCCCATGTCCAGCCACTCTTTTGCACCCAGGGCCGTCCGCAGCCGTCCGCGCAATTCTCCGCAACCATTTCCCGTCCGCAGCCGTCCGCGCAGCCAAGGTCGCTCATCACCAGCGGCTTC